CCCCCCCCCCCCCCCCCCCGCGCGCTTCCATCACTTTCTTGCAAGATGGCACGATGGCTGCTTTGCATACTGGATATCTGGATGATTGAAATAAGATTAAAAATGTATTGTGTGTTTGGCCCGGTCACTGTGATGTTATAGGGCTCTGTTTGGCCCTCTGCCCTTTGCCAAGGAGCCCCCTAACTCTCCTTTGGGGTGGAAGAGCCATGTAGGGTGGGCTTTGTAATACTTGCAATGTGGGTTTTGTAGTACTGTTGCACTGGCCAACCTTTAGCCAATAGCCATTTGCAGCTCTGATGGCCTTACCCCTGCCCATCAGCTAAAGAAGGATTTTTATTTGCCCTTGGGGTTGTAGACATCCAGGGAGAAGCAGATATTCAGAAGCAAGCATGTCAGAAATGAAAAGAGGGCAGAAGTGGCCCTTAAGTCCTGGGAATGGGGATAGGATGAGGGAAAAAAAGACTTGGGTTGATTCCTTCCTATTATTGAAATGTGTACATAGCTCAACTTGGTGATTCTGAGCTGTGTATGGATTTAATAAATAATATTTCAATATATAGGTTAAGTAATATTTTTTATATATGTGTTAAATAATATATGTTAAATTTCTGCCCACTGACCATTCATATTAGGGGTGTCCAACCTTGGCAACTTTAAGATCAGTGCCCCTCAACTCCCAGAAATCCCCAGCCAGCCATGCTGGATGGGGAATTCTGGGAGTTGAAATACACCGGTCTTGAATCTGCCAAGATTAGACAGCCCTGGCTTATTTCATGGTTTGTAGTAAACATTAAACAAAGCAAAACAAAAAATCTTTTTACTGTAAGCGTCATACAACCTTTTTGCCTTTTACGCGGCCTGCCCTGCTGTTCCAGCTCTCCCCGACAGGGGCGGAACGAAACGTCGCCTGTCCGGGTTGCCGGGCGGAGGGCTTGGCGAGACGGACCTGCCCGGGAACTACTTCCAGGGCAGCCCGTCCCTCATCGCATTCCGCCCGAGTCGCCACGATGGGGATCCTGGAGAAGATCGCGGAGATCGAGAAGGAGATCGCCCGGACCCAGAAGAACAAGGGTGAGGCGGGGGCAGCCCGGCGGGGCCGGGAAGGGGCGCCTCCCCTGTTGGAGGGCGGCCTGGCGAGTCTGCAGGCCTCGGGAGACGCCCCGGCTTGGCCTCTTGAAGGGAGGAACCCCGCCGGCTATTTATGGGCCTGGCTGTGCTATGTCAGTGGGGGTGGGCTGGGTGTCATTTAACGCAAAATGAAATTAAATGAGTCTTTTTCAAAATCTGACTCGTTCATATGGGTGTGTATGTATATATGTGTGTATATGTAGTATATGTGTGTATGTAATATATATGTGTGTATTTGTAAATATTTGTGTATCTGAATCTGGGTGGGTGGGTGTGGGTGTACGTGTGTGTCCATTTATGTTGTTTTATACACTTCCTAAATACAGTAAACGGCTGCATAAATGAACTGTTTTCTTTCTCTGTTTTATTGTTCTTTTTATTTTACTTTTGCTTTGTTTAAACTTCCTTTTTGTTTCTTCATTTTTTTTTATGGTTGTGGTCCACCTAGAGTAGCCCATGGTGAGGCAGGCAGTAAATAGATTTAATAGTAACAATAACAATAATAAACGACTGGTGCCTCCAGTAGGATCGGATGCATTCCTCCAGAACATGGCAAAGCCATTGAAACCACCAGGATTCCCTTTGGGCCAGTTTGCCTCTTCCTCTTCCTCCTCTGCCACCTCTGCCTCTTCTCGCCAGCCTCCAGAAGCAATGGACTGCCATCATCCCCGCCCTGCCGGTCCACAAGTGTGGGAGCAGATGGCTGGCACAGCTCGCGTGGGAGAAGTGGGAGCATGCCCAGAAAATCGGAAGGGGAGCAGAAAAGGGCCGCCTGGGATTATATTTACCAAGTGTAGCAAGAAAAACGAACAAAAAAGTGTTACTACAGCATTATGATGAATATTGCTTTAGATTTATTATAGCTGCTGCCCAAGGAACTCCCGGTGACTGAAATGAAACAGATCGCCCTGAGTCTCTTCCCTCCCCCACATGGGCTCCTTCGTCACCTGCTTGTTCTTTCTCCGTTTTCACCCCCAGCTACGGAGTACCACCTGGGTCTGCTGAAGGCCAAGCTCGCCAAGTACAGAGCTCAACTTCTAGAACCTTCCAAATCAGCTGCGGCCAAAGGGGAAGGCTTCGATGTGATGAAGTCGGGGGATGCTCGGGTGGCGCTGATCGGTTTCCCTTCTGTGGGTAAGGTCAGTGCTGAGCGGAGAACAAGGACTCTTCAGGCATGGCTTTGAAAATAAGTTCTGCTTTCTGAATCTCTGCCTTCTCTTTTAGTCCACGTTTCTGAGTTTAATGACTTCCACGGCTAGTGAAGCAGCTTCTTATGAATTCACGACATTGACCTGCATTCCTGGAGTCATAGAGGTAAATGCACTTCTCATGGGCTCCCTTTTGCCTCGGGTGGCAATTGAGCCAATGTAGATATTGTTACTTCTATGAGAGTGAAGCTCATAGACGGCTGTGCTGCTAATTAAATCAGCACTCAGATTCATGTGAGATGCTTAGTGGTGGATTGCCTTTTCTGATTTTTCTTCATTTATGTGCAGTACAAAGGAGCCAATATCCAGCTTCTAGATCTTCCTGGGATCATTGAAGGAGCTGCTCAAGGTTGGAATTCCCTTCTGCTTTTTAACTGCCAAACTACTCACAGGGTTGTGGTTGTTGGGAAAATAGGAGGAGGAAGATGTATTGTTTTGGATATGTTCGCCGCCTTGGGTTATTTGCCAAAATAGTAAAGGCAGGATACAAGCAAACAAAATAAAAAACAATAAGGAAGTCCTACCGTTGAGGCTTGTCAGATGGGGCGGGAGGAAAGCTGCCCTTGGGCTGTCATAGGAGAAAGCAATGGCTATGTCCACTTTCAGAGAAGGGGTTTCTGTTTGGATTGACCAGGTCAAAAAAAAAGAACACGAGCCCCCCCTTTTATGCCCTGGTTCTTTGTCAGCTTCTCTATGAGAGTCATTTCTTTTGTGTTTTTAGGGAAGGGCCGAGGACGCCAAGTGATTGCGGTGGCCCGGACCTCAGATGTCGTCATCATGATGCTGGAAGCCACCAAGGGAGAAGTGCAGAGGTCAGCAGAGGGAGGGGAGGGGCCTCTGAGGGGCAGAATGGCGTGGGAAGAATGCTCAGCCATTGGGCGTTTCTCCTTAGAGGCGACCTCGGTGTTTTTGCTTGCATGTGCAAAATGTAAGAGTTGCTGTTTGGAGCCAGGCTGCAGGGCATGCTCCTGCAAACATGGATTTGGGCAAAAGGTTGAGTGCGTGCTGTGATTCCTCCTGCAGAGCTCTCTTGGAAAAGGAACTGGAAACAGTTGGCATCCGGCTGAACAAAAATAAACCCAACATCTACTTCAAGGTGAGACACAGGAAGCTGGCTGCGCTGTGGGGGGAGCTGGCACTGAGGGAGATTCCAGCATTGTTGACCTAACAGCCCCTCTGTCTTCCTTCCAGCCCAAGAAGGGGGGTGGCATCTCCTTCAACTCCACCGTGAGCTTGACTCACTGCTCGGAGAAGCTGGTGCAGCTCATCCTTCACGAATACAGTATCCTTTCTCAGGATCCTCCTGGGGGTTGCCTCGGGGGCATCCCCAAAGGCCCAGGCCCAGGATCTTAAGGGTGGGGGGTGATGAGGAGGTGGACGAGCTTGCCTGGAAGTTGAGTCCCAGCTGTGCTCTGCCCGTGCGGCCAGAAGCAGCGTGAGTCCCACGAAAGTTGATGGGCCTTAACTCTCCCATCCTAAGAAATCTTCAATGCGGAGGTTCTGTTCAGGGAAGACTGCAGCGCAGACGAATTCATTGACGTGATTGTCGGCAACCGAGTGTACATGCCCTGCCTTTACGTGAGTAGCGTGCGAGAAGATTCCTTTTGTAACAAACGGGGACGGGATAATTGGTGCCCAATCCTAATTAAGTGGAGACGTTCTTTGTCCTTCCGGTTCCGGTTTGCCCGGCGTTCAGATAGCTACATTTGGGGACTAAAATATTCTTCTGATCTGAAGCAATCAAGTTCCCAGCACTTCCCTTGATGAAAAATCCTGCAGCTGATTATTTTTTTCTCCCAAATAAAATCAACTGTCCTGGAACATTTCTTTGCCTGGGGTGGGGGCTTATAATTAAGTTACCCTGTGGTAAAATGGGTGGCCAGTACATTTCGTAAATAAATCACATTTTAGAAAGTTGGTGTGAGGGATCAGAGTGGAATCAACATCAGGGTGCAATGTGAATCTTCCCCCCCCCCTTCCTCTGTGTCTTAATTTAGGTTTATAACAAAGTTGACCAGATCTCTATGGAAGAGGTGGACCGCCTGGCTCGGAGGCCCCATAGCGTCGTGATTAGGTAAGGGAACCCCCAAGTAGTCCTGCACAAAACACGCATTATGGCTGTGTCCGCTGACGGTTGTGTCTTCCCAGCTGTGGCATGAAGCTGAATTTGGACTACCTGCTGGAAACGCTGTGGGAATATCTGGCTCTCACCTGCATCTTCACAAAGAAAAGAGGCCGTAAGTAACGCCCTGGGAACGGCCGAGAAAACTCGGTCACGCCTGAGGATTAAGGGGAGGTTGGGAAGGCCAGTATTGGTAGAGAGTTAGAAGCCTTTCGTTTTCCTCTCCTCCCCTCACCGAAAAATGCTCCTTCCTTGCAGAGAGACCTGATTTTTCAGATGCAATCATTCTGCGAAAGGGGGCCTCCGTACAGCACGTGGTAAGCCCTGAAAGCTCTCGGGACCCTGGGCTGGGGGGTTAGGAATCTCATTCAGTCTCCCCCGATCCAGACGGTCTCCAGCGGGATGGATCTCAACCTCCAGCAACCTCAGCAAGGGCCTTGTTGCTGGATCTCCTGAGAGTTGAAATCCCCTCGTCTGAAGGGTGCCCCAAGGGGAGATGGCCAAGCTGTGCCATCGGATGGGGTGGTGGGAACTCGGCTGTTGTGATGCCTGGATCTCCCGGTGTGACTTTGATGTAGAGGGGTGCTTTGAACCGAAGATACACGAGGCTCTGTTCTCGCCTGCCTGACCGTTCCCTCTTTTCAGTGTCACAGAATTCATCGGACGTTAGCTGACCAGTTCAAGTACGCCCTTGTGTGGGTAAGTGTTTGCTGAAGAAGCGGGGAGTCTGGTCTCAGGCCTGGCCTTGGGCATGTAGAGGAACCACCTGGGGTGCAGTGATACTCCAGTGCTCCCTGCAGGTGGAAATCCAGCACAGCAAGGACAAACTTTCCATCCAATCTCACTCCCGAGGCTCTGCTTTTCTATCGGCAGTGGACTGTTTTTCACAGGAGAACGTTCAGAAACCGTCTCCTCATCCCCTCCATATTCTGCTGTAGAGGAGCCTGCATAATGTTTGGGAGAAGGATGGCAGAAATGAGACCGTGTTATCCCACCGTTGTTCAGATAGAATAGGCTGCTGACAATCTGGGAGCGCCTTCTGCCTGGTTGGAGAGTCAGGCTGGGGCCTGGGTTTGGGTCCAGCAAGGTCTTCCTCGCACAAAGGCCCAGATCAAATGAATGAAGGCAGCAAGAGCAGGTCTTTAGCCACACCTCCCGAGAGGGTCTTGACAGATGCAAAAAGAGGTCCACCATCAAGAGGGTGAGCAGAGGTTGCTAACGACCTGCTTGCCAAGCAGAAGGTAGCTTCCACCCTCCACCATTCGGTCAGAACTGAAGAAGCTTCTTGGATGAGAAGCAAAAAACAAGGAAAGTCCAGCTGCCTCTTGAAAAAGCACCTTTGGTTCAATCACAGTAGCATCTTGGATGAGAATCCGAGCCTCTGACATTGCCACCCCCTTGTGCCCTTTGGGGGGGTCAACTCTAACGCCCACCCGTCTAGAGCTAAACCTTATGGCAGCGTTTCTCAACCGTGGGATGGACTGGGGAATTCTGGGACTTGAAGTCTACCCCTCTTAAAGTAGCCAAGGCTGAGAAACGCCGCGTCCTGCTTTGATACGAACCTGTTTTCTGCACCCTTCAGTCCATCTTCTCTCTCTGCCTTTCCAAGGGAACCAGCACCAAGTACAGCCCCCAACGAGTCGGGCTCAGCCACGTGGTGGAGCATGAAGACGTCATCCAGGTGGTGAAGAAGTAATCGCCCGCACCTTGCTCCCCTCCGTAGAGTTTCCATGCAGCTTAACTGTAAAATGTGTAAGAACTAACCTGCCCCACATGGTCAAAGGAGGCGGGGCAGGGAGGACACTCTTCCCCAGTCCTAGAAGGAGAGACAGCCACAGAGGGGGGCGAAGCTTTTTGGGGACACAGAAGGACCAGGGTTTTCTCCTGAGTGGGGAAACTTGCTTAGATGAAGCCTGTCGCTGAGGGTCCTTCGAGCACTCGATGGGAGAGGATTTGAGACCGAACGAGGATGGCAGCCTGGCTACCTCTGGTCAGCGGCCTCAGATTTGTGACCTGGTGACCCTGGAGTGGGATGTCGGATCCAGAATGAAGAACCTGCCTTTCTCCCTTCAGAACTCAGCCTTGCCACCTCTTCTCTGTGGACAGGAGATCCATAAAGGAAGGATCTACCCACGCCTGGGAGCCTGGATTGATGAGTCCTCTCCCCTCCTCCCTCCTCATTTCACCAGGTCATCTCCTGGTCCCATAGCCCACCCCCAGACTTCGACTCCAGACCCATCAGCCCCCTTCTCCCTTGACCTTCTGCTGAAATAAAGGATGGTCCTCACGTCTCTTTGGAACTTCTAAATGTTCATGTAGCCCTTTGCTTAGACTGCTCTCAACACCGCTTATGCCTTCAGGGGCCCTCCTGAAGTTGCGAGCGAACCCAGCCTGTTTCCCCATAGCTTGCCTTGCCTTCTTCCAGGCAGGGGGGTTCTTATTCCAGTCCACAGCCTGGCCCCCACAAAGGTTGAAGACTCCCAAATAGTTCTTAAGACTTCTTCAGCTTCCAGCTTTTTGGTGGTGAGAAAGTGAACGCCAAGCATTTTCTCTACTGTAGGCTGCTTTCTGGGTGTTTAATTAATTTGACTACTGGGTTTCATTCCCCCCCCCAAAAAAAAAGAGCTTTCTGTTGAAGTTTGTGTGAATGAATCAAAAAGGATTTTTTAAAAAAACCCATTAAAGGGAATAGATGAGAGGCAGTTCAAATCCCCCTTGAGAAAAGCACCCGCATTGGACTCTCAGCGACCTTGTGAGGTCAGTCCCAAACTTTCCCTGAGAGTGTTGTGGTTTGGGGGTGCAGTAAGCGAAGTGGGTCCCTGCTCCTGGGTACTGAGATGACCCCTGCGCCCGTCCTGCCCCTCTGCAGATGCTTCCCCTGAAGGACGTTCCCTCCCTCCTCCCATTTCTCTCTGTCCAGCCACTGCAGGGAAGAATAGCTGCCATCAAATATGCATGGAGCCAGCAGGTGTCTGGCAGCCAGTCTGGCAGGGCAGGGTCCACGCAGGGCAGGCAGTCACGGGTGAGTTGCCCTCCCAGGCCTGCCCCTCAGTTTGGAGAGCGAAGGGATGGAGTCGCCTGTCCTCCCGAGGGTTTAACCCGCTGCGAGACCAGAAGGCAGGACGGGGGAGGCGGGCAGCAGCTGCCCAGGTAAGTGGGCCGTGCCACTCTTGTTGCGATGACGTCCGATCTCTCTGCATTCAAAAGGGTCTCGCTGTCCTTTAATCTGCAAAGTGGCCATCAGCTGCTTGATCATATGCTTGGTTTTAGTTCATGGGTAGGGAAGGGATAGGCTTGTTCTCTCCTCCGAAATCCTCACAACAGCCTTTGGAGGTAGGTCAGCTCGAAGGAGGCATCTGCGGGGGAAGGAAGGCTCAGCTTTCTTATCAGACTGGGCTTGGGCCAGGAGGGTGGGCTGCGATGGCATTTTGCGTGCTCTTTTAATGAGCCGTGTTGTGCTCCAGCCTAGCCCACCCCTCAGGATGGTTGTGAGTGTCATAAAGGTACATCTTCACACTCGCGCATACACACACACAGACCCATTTGTAAGGGTAAAGCAGAAATCTTAAGATTCTCGCTCTGGAGGAAGCTGCTTTGAAATTGAGCGCAATTTAGGGAAACCTTCAGAGCCAGAATCGGGATCTGCAGAGAGGAGAATGAAAGACCGGAAGACTCGCAGGGAGGATTTGGGGCCTCTGTTCAAACTCCGCTTTCTAATCCTTGGCAATACATCTCTCTCTAGTCTCCTCGGCTTGAAAAGTGGAGCGGGAAGAGAATTTAAATCTTCTCTGCTTCCTAGACATTTGTTTCCCATCTGCTGCAAGGGGTTGGTCATGCCACCCAAATATCACAACCTGGCACAATCGTGCTCACCACTCTGTCCAATTTGCACACGCCCTGCCCCACAGCCTAATTTGCAGCAGGCTTTGGAGGGTGGTGAGCCCCCAATAAGGGGTCCAACTGACCCCCCTCCCTCAAGCAGTAGAAATTCCCTTAAAAAGAGGCAATATCTCGCGTCCGGGCACCTGTCTTCCTGCTGACCGCAGGCGGATGAAGAAGAAAGGACGGTGCGCCTTTCTCTGCCAGCTGCCCAGCAAAGGGGCTGGTGCCCTTCCATCCATTGTCCCTTTGATTTACGTCCCTCGGCCGTGACGTCCGAGGCCTGAGGGGCAGGGCGAGCCAAGCTCCCCTGGGAGAGGGGAAGCAACAGTTGCCAAGGCTCTTGGTTAGTGATGGCAACTGGGGTGCCGATGGCATCGGGCATCTTGAAATTGGTTTGTGCAGATCTTCAGATCTTGGGGACACCCGTGCATCGGCCGAGCTGGGAGCGAAGGGCCAGCGTTTGCAACATCATGCCAAAGCCAGGGTGCCTGAGGGCCTGGCACTGACCCCTGCCGTGGCCGACGTCCGGGTGGCAGCCGCCGATGGTGTGCGTTCCGAAAGGTAAGCCCCGTGGCAAGCTGATCTGGGTTCCTTCCATGTGTCTCCCGCGTGTTTCGTAAGTTCTCCTCCCCTTTGGGCCTGATCTGTGAAGCCAAGGAGATTTCAAACTGCAAAACTGGACCTCTGGATTTCAGAGAGATTGGACAATCATTTGACTGAAATGTTGTAGGGTTTCCTACTTGAGCAAGGGGCTGGACTAGAAGACCTCCAAGGTCCCTTCCGACTGTGTTACCTCTCTTCTCAGTCTCACAGTTTCCCCGCCCTTGTCAGTTTCTCATCCTTAAATTTGCAGCGTGTTCCTATGCTCTTGCCTTTGAAAGTAGGACAGAGGGTGTATTGGCTGGGGGAACAGAACTGGGGGAGCTTTCTGCTCTCCTGCGAGCAGGGGCTCCCCAGAAAATGCTCCAAAACAATCAAAGATGACGGGCCACGTTGGTGGGATCGAAACGTGACCAGTTTTGTTTGCGTCTGCCTCTTTCTTCACGCCGTTGTGGTTGCCGTCTTGACTTCGTTGATCCTACCTTGCAAATACCCCTGCCCCCCCCCCCTTTGACTGCTTGCCTTTCCTCACTCCGAGCCCCAACCGAGTGCTGCTTTCTAGAGCAGTTTTTTCAAATCTCCCGTTACGGAGACAAGTTTCAATAAGAAAAGCGCCTCCGTGTGCTCGCACACCCTCCTCCTGCTTACCTGTCACAGGTGTGTAATTGCACCCACGTTCCTTCAGCTTATCTTGCAGCGCGGCCGCCTCTTTCCCAGGCACCTTGGTATTCTAATATCTCCTGAAGGCCAGTGAGGAGGTAAGGTATCTCCTTATAGCAGAATCCGTTTCCCCCCTGGAGCAGCTGCGTGGAAGGGAGGGCTGCAGAAACGAGCTCCCTCCCTCCCTCCCACCCAGCCGCCCCCACCCACAAAGCCACCAACAAGGGTCCTTCCTGAAAGGCCTTTAAGCACAGTTGCCTTTTTTCAGAAAGAGGTAAACATTCCTTTCACCACCACAATTAAAAAAGAGAAAAGGAAGAGAGAAAGAGAAGTTATTTTTTTCCCTTTGGATCCAGCTGAGCGGTCCACGTGTTTATTCCACCGTCTGATTTTTCGTTCTAAGACAGCACTGGAGCCAAGGTGGTCAAAATAGAGCTGGGTTGGCAAAAGGGGGCTTGCCCCCTTCCTTTCTTGTCTCCTCCCCTCTCCTCCTTCGGAGGACTCTCGATCTGGAGATGGACTGGTCCACTTACATTATTCATACGGACGAGAGCCCAAGAGATACGGTTACATTGCCAGCTCACATCAAGGGTTAGACCTTCACTCCCCTCCCAGCACCTTGCAGGATCCACACTGAAGGAGAAGAATGGAAGACCTCCCAGCCAGCTCTGAAGACCGTTGTGTGCAAGATCAACCTTCAGTGCAACCTCTGCTGGGCCTGGACAGACCTTCCCCTCAGGTCTCAAGCTTTTGAGGAAGACTGTTGAGGTCTACAACACAGCAGTTGAAGCCAAGGAGAGATATTGAGAGGCCCACAAGGACTTTCTCCAGCTTCCTCCACAGGTAAATAAAACAGTCTTCTCTCTTCTTCACTCTGAAATGAGTGATTGCTGAAAACAGAACAAGGGAAGGGAAGTAAGAGATCTTCTGGCTTCAGAGATACACAGGCTGGTTTTCAGTTTCAAAGAGATTGCAGAAATCTTGTGTTTTCTTCATCATGTTTGCTGTCTCCTCCTCCTCCTCTTCGTTTCTGCATGGACAAAATTTTGCTGAGCTTTCCCTGGAGGGGTCACGACCTAGGAGAGCATGAACATCCTTGACCTCCCCAGAAATGGCTAAGAAAGGAAAAGAGGATAAAGGGAAAAATGTCCGAAAGGGGAAAAAGAAACCTGTGGCTCAGTTGGACGATGGGTCAGATTCTGACTTGGCAAAAAGGAACACTGAAGAGAGTGAGATGGACAGCGAGCTGGTGGAGGGAGAGGAGGAGGAGGATGAAGACGACCCTAAGAAGAAGGGGAAGGACAAGAAAGGTGTGGTCAAGAAGGTAGGCAAAGAGAAGAAGGGGCAGTTGGACAAGACCAGGAGGCAGCTCAAAGGAGCCTCCCAGCTGGTCATGGGCCTGACAGCAGAGGACCCCAAGAAGAAAGTGGCCAAGAAGGAACATGCCAAAGCCCAGCTGAAGGGAGCCACCAAGGCCATGGTCATGGCCAAGAAAGAGGCAGCGGTCCCACCCAAGAAAAGGCGGAGCTTGAAGAGCACCTCCAAACTCTTCATGGGCGTGAAAGGGATGGGGCCGCACAAGAGCACCAAGAAGAGCCACTTCAAGAACACCTCGCGCTTCTTCTGGGGCCTGAGGAAGTACAGCACGAAGAAGAAGAAGAAGAACAAGAAGAACAAGGGGGTGCTGAAGTCCACCTCCAACCTGATGATGCGCTTCAAATCTCTTGGAAAGAAGAAGGAGAAGAAAGAGGGAGCCCCCGACAAGGAGACCAAGAAGTCCTCGTTCATGCTGATTCGGTTAGGGGGTGGGAAGTCAGAAGATCAGCAAAGCAAAGGGGGGAGTTTTTTTGGCAACCTCTTCCGGCGGAAGAAGGCAAACCAGAACTTTAAACCCCAGGCCCAGATGGTCAGCAAGGTGGCTGCGGTCACCAACTGGCTGACCTGGAAATTCTTGAGTAAGCGTAGTAGATCAAGATACGACAAACGAGCAACTGATGACTCTTGGCTAGCCAAGATTGGAGCCAAGAAACTGCCTTTCCCTTCAGAAGATGAAGTTTTGAGACACCGAGCGAATATGAGGAGAGTTGCTGGAGCCAATAAGTGTACGTGTTTTGGCCAATACCCGGACAAATTTGGCTACTGGGACCCCCTGGATTCTGCCACCTTACAAGATTACTTTGATGATTATGAAGAAGAATGTGGTTACGATGGCCAGTCCCCTTTCAAGTATGGCTTGTCTGGTTATAACCAGGATTGTTATGGGAGGCATCAAATGGAAGAAGGAGATGAGCCTTATGATGAAGACTATGATGAGCAGGACCCTTATGGATACTGCAGTGACAATCAAGATTATGGACCTTCTTTCCATTATCCACCTTATGAACCTTACGAGGATTTCAGCAGTGATTATGAAGTAGAAGGTGTTCCATATTGGACTAGAGAATTAGAACTCCCTGATAATCAGGAGGATGTTTACTGCCAGCAGGACATGAATGACGGTGACCAAGAATGGGCCTCCCAGTCTTCGTACAACCCGTACGCCTGTCTGCTGGACGACATAGCTGAGATGGAAGAAGCAGACAGAGCGGAGACTGAACCAGAAGATGATCCCATTGCTTTCTCCCATTCTTCTGTTTCTGAACGAGAGATGGGAGGAAAGTTGTCTGCCACAGCACCATTGAACAGGAAGTTCCGGCTTTTCCCGAGGCCCCAAGTGAAGTTGTTCGGCAAGGAAAAGCTTGATGTCCCCCTCCCACCTTCCCCACAGATTTCCCTGGCTTATTTGGATGCTGAGGAAGAAGGCATCACTGAAGAAGAAGAGCAGGAGCCTCTAATTTCTCCATTTGCCCAGTTTGATGGTCAGTATTTGGAATCTTCTGGGTCTCAGGAGACTTTTTCAGAGTTGTTCCCTCTGAGCAAGCTTCAGAGGTCCCACAGGAACAACTTAAGTAGAAGGAACGGGGGTTGGGATGCACATCACATGAAGCCTCATCTTTCTCCAAGAGAGTGTGGGAGCCCTCTGGGGCAGTTCCTGCAGCAATCCATCTCTCAGCCGAGACCTATTCTGAAGCACCATGAGAACTGGGGACGGAACCAACCAGGCATGCATGAGTCCAACAGTAGAACTCTGTCTCCACGGTTTGGGAAGAAGAGTCCTCTGGAGTCGTCTTCTCTGCCTCCAAGCACGCCTTTTGAAAAACCAAGTTGTACTTTCCCCCCCAGCTCTGTTAGGCGACTTAGGGGTCCAGGGAGACACCACACTATTCTCACACCTTCTCAAACCACAGTAGCAATGCAGGACGTTCTTCACAAAGAGTTGCAAAGCACTCTCCGGTCAAATTTCAATAGAAAGTCACAGCAAGACCTTAGGTTTTCACAGAGAAATGCCTCATGGTCAACAACTGGACATCAAAATCCTTCCTTCAAGGGGAAGAGGCCACATATTCCCATGTCTTCTCCTTCTCAGAGAACAGCCAAAGAAAACCCAGTTTCATCAGGGGGATGCAGGACAGCCACCATGGAAAACTCACCCAAAGACTCCCTCTTCCAGGCACCTCCTGCCTCTTACCCATCAACACACAAGCGTTTGGGAAGTCAACGCAACCTCTCATCTTCTAGCTTAGCATCTGTTAAAAGCCTGATGGACACCCCTTTCAGTCGTTCATTGTTTTATGTGTCCAGCACTCCAGAATTTCAAGATTCTGCCAGAAATAGGACCTCTGGAAGGTTTGTCCCAAGAAAATTCTATAGTCCCACCAGCAGGAGTTTGAAGTCTCCTCCATCACCTCAACCATCCCTTAGGCATTTTGGATCTCCTCCCATGCCCAGTCACTTACAGTCAAGAAGGGCAGTTCATCAGGTATCTATGGACGCTTCGGGAAGCCTACCCCAGGCTTGGAACAGGCAGGCTGAGCCGCCAACGAAAGCAGTGAAGCCATTAATGAGAAACCAGCATCTGAGGCAGTTTGGCCATCGGTCCCCAGTTTTATCTGCTAGGGGTTCTCCTCACATGCTTCCTCGTCAAGGAAGCCACAGAATCGGCATTCGAGAGTCACCCCGAGGGTCATCTCCTTATGCCCAACTTCCCTTTGAAACTGGTAGACCAAAGGAAGCTCAGTCCCAGCCCCAGCCAAGGTGGCTTTGTGCCTCAGAAGAAGGAACAGCAACTCCTTGGAGTTCCTCACCCAAGATGGGAGCTACGAGAAGCTTGAGAAATGGTTTCAACTTGCCCCAATCACCCACTCGGGCTCCAAGCCCCCACAAGGACTTCATTCAGCGCATTGGGCAGCCTCTGGTGGGAATGGCTCAGCCTGCTTCTGTTCAGTTCCTTCCTGGAGAAACAAGAGGACATTTAAAAGATGAGAATCCATATCTTGCAGAGTTGGGCCCAGAAGAGTCTGAAGCTTTTTCAAGGCAGCCATTTCCCCAGCATTCTCCAGCTGCTATTGCATCAATGAAGCAGAAGACAGAGGCCACGCCTACCAGGTCTTCTACTCCTAAAGTGGCACGTAAGCTCTTGGGTGGGCATTTGTTCTGCACCATCCCTGGTGATAATCCTGGCAATTTGAGGAGGCCCAATCTCAGCCCCTTTTCTCAAAGAACAGTTTCATTCAAAAGACCCTACACTGTGGAAGAAGAGGGCTCCTCTTTGGGCAGACCACCTTCCTTTCGCGGCCAGTATAACAAGCCAAGAAGACCAGATTTTGCCCCCAGACCTCCTGAGCTTCTAGAACATGAAATGGAAGGAAGCGTAGGGAGATATGCAGTGGTGATGCCCCAAGTCCAACTGATGGGTTCTTCTCCTTGGAGAAGGTCCCGGAGACAAAACCAGCCATGGTCTAAGTATCACACAGTGAAGATACATGAGATGCCAAGCGAATGGACCTCTGAGAAGCTCTTCCAGCACCCTCCAGCAGAGAGTTTTAAGGCTCAGGATGTTCATCGTGGAGGAGGGAGAGGGAATGGGGTGTTCTGGTACCTGACGCGGGGAGCATCTGGGTCCAAGAGCGAATATGAAGAGACCAACAAGAACTGGCAATGCAAGGTAATCGAAAGAGTCCTGGTCTGCTGGATGTTGAAGAGGGACAGAGGGAATAAGAGAATGGAAAGCAGAACTGGTGGGGGAGTGAGAATTGGAGGAGGTCCCTTTGAATTCAATTTCTCTTGAATTTCTGAGTTCTGGGCTGCACATGCCCTAAAGCAGGGATCCTCAACCTTGGCAACTTTAAGACTTGTGGACTTCAACATTCAAAGCTGGCTGAGGAATTCTGGGAGTTGAAGTCCACACGTCTTAAAGTCGCCAAGGTTGGAGACCCCTGCCCTGCCCTGCTCTGCTCTGCGGGACCTACACAACGCCTTAGATCAAAGACGCCCAACATGGCCGGTGTGTGTGCATAATATCCCCTTGTAACCTAAGAGCAGTATGCAAATGGGAGAACATTGAGCGGAGTTGGAACTGGAGGGGAGAATTAATTAGAGAGAAGCAGCTACCTGACTCCTTGTCTCCCGAGTAATGGAGTGAGTCACTGTTTAATAGCCAGCCCACCATGACATCCAATTGAGGTGTGTTTGCTTGCTGTCAAGACGTGGCCTTTGCAGACGCAGAAGGCTTGTTCGGTCACCACCTGCAGACCCTTCCTCTTTTCCGAGGTGAAAGGAATGGCAAGGTGGGCAGGAAAAACAGACTGGTATGGGGGGGGGCTTCAGCCTAAGTCAGACCCTCCCCCATGCCATGAAATGCCTTCAGTGATGCTCAGCTGCTGCCAGCTCTCAGCTGAACCTCCCTGTCAGGGTGCCTGGGGAGATACAAAGGGGGGGGGCAGGGATATTTTGGAGGCCTGTCTTGACCTTGTCTTCCTACCAACTTCTAGATGCACTGCATTCACAATTTGCACTCGGCAGCCAACCCAGGAGAGGCGAGCCAGGACGGCGTGGATGACTTGACCCAACTGGAGTAAGTGTTGCAGGGCGGGTTCTCATTGGGGAGGCCGAGGGGCGCTGTCCACCCCTGAAAGATGGAGAGGGATGTTTCTCAAACTTGGCAACCTAACAATGGGTGGACTTCAACTCCCAGAATCCCCCAGCAGCACATACACACAGATACCCTGTGCATCTTAAGGGATGTTCTTTTTACTGTTTACTGTAGTATTTTGGGGTGGGTGGGGCAAAATTGAACCAGGGATTTATGAATAGGAGGGAAAACCAGTTATGAGGGCATCTTCCACTCCTTCATCTGAGCGGGGGGGGGGCTTAGAGCCCTGCTCCCTACGGGCTTTAGGAAGCAAAGCTTCCTTGCTCTCCTGTCATTTCCTCCAGTGCCTTTATCAGGTTTTCTCCCTGGAACTGCTGACGGCAATATTTAGTTCCCCTTCTTAAAGTTGTCCTATGTTCAGCCATGTTTGTTCTCTATGCCACAGAGACCTCCAAGAAAGTGTGGTCCTGCACAACATCCAAAGGAGGTTTGAGCGGGGACTGATCTATGTAAGTTGATCTTTTTCACTTTTGCTTCCTGGGTACTGGAAAAAAATATCTGGAGTGATGGGGAGGGTCTGGCTTCAAACCCCAGCTAAGCCACAAGATACCCTGGGAGGATCAGGCTTGGTCTTCCTTGCAGCCTTGTAAGGACGGTGATCAAGCTGGAGTTAGAGAATTTGGCACGTGAACAGTGGTCTTTTTTTCTGCAAGAAAAAAAAGACTCAAGATTCATTTTCGCGTTACGTGGAAAGTAAGAGAGACGACATTGACAGAGATTTATTTATTGTTGTTTTTATTTATTAAACCTATATACTGTTCATCTTGCCAGAGGCAACTCTAGGCAGATATATGCAAAATCTGTTTGTCTTTTGACAAGATCCTCTTTCTTACTTTCTGTTACTAATAAATGCAAGCTTAAACAAAATATAGGTGTTAAATTGAAAAGTTCTGGAAGGTTTTGAAATGTTGCTCGCTTTTTGTAAGTTCTCACCTTATAATAATAATAATAGTAAAGTTGGAAGGGACCTTGAAGGTCATCTAGTCCAACCCCCTGCTCAGGCAGGAAACCCTATACCATTTCGGACAAATGGCTGTCCAGTCTCTTCTTTAAAACTTCCAGTGTTGGAGCATTCACCGCTTCTGGAGGCAGGTGGTTCAATGTCTGTTCATAAAGCGTAGGAATTGTCTAAGTCAGACTAAACCAGGAGTTTATTCTTATGTATAGAGCATGAAGTCATTGTGTTTAGATTCACACAGAGCACTAAGTTCTCCATAATTTTGTGGTTTTTCCTTTCCCTAACATGTGTTCTCTCTCTCTCTCTTACACACACATACACAACTTGTTCCTCTTTCTCTCTGCCAGACCTACATAGGTAGCATCCTGGTGGCAGTGAATCCTTACAAAATGTTCAACATCTACGGAACAGACCACGTCCTGAAGTATGAAGGCCAAGCTTTGGGAGAGAACCCACCGTGAGTCTGTCACTGGCTGCAGGGCTGATCTGGAGGGCGTTTCAACCAGTCCTACAGAAATGGGGACAGTTTCATTACACTGGGCTCTTTTGACAGCATATTCTGAGTCCTAGTGGCCATGAGGATGTCCTCATGATCTTCTGTGGCTCTGGAAAGGCCGACTGTGTGCTTGCTGAAATCTCAGAGGTTTGGATGAATAATATCTCAGTTGTTTCTCAGCCTTCTCAACCAACCAACTAGTGTCTTTTCAGGGGATTTGCAACTACGATTCCTATCATTCTGGTTCTCTGCTTTTATCGGTTAGGGCTGGGAATCCAAAACAGCTGGAAAGCATTAATGAACGGTCTTCCCTCATATATTTTTACTTTAATTGGCAGCGATTGTCTAAGATTGCAACTAGGTAGAACTACCCATGCTGGTGTTTCTGTATGTGGTTCCTTCCATATGTTTCTAACTATTGTCACTAAGGCTTGTGGGGATGCTAGCTAGAAAGACACCAGTTTGACTTGAGAGCAACCTGCTCCCTGTTTTAAAGGCAGCTTGAAACTTCCTTCCTTCCTTCCTTTCCTCTGCAGGCACCTTTTTGCAATTATTAACGTTGCCTACAGCAAGTTGAGAGACGCCAAACTCAACCAATGTATCATTATTAGGTGAGATCTGATAAACTGGCTAAAAAGAGAAAGAGAATCCCCCCCTTGTCTTCTTTCAAGTTCGGTTCCTTAAGCTGTTGAGATGTTTCAGGTGGGCTCAGGTGTCCTTGCTGTCCTTACATTCCTTCCGTCTGGTTGCTTCCAGTGGAGAAAGTGGATCGGGCAAAACCGAGGCCACCAAACTGATCCTTCGCTACCTGGCAGCCATCAACCAGAAACACCTTGCGACCCAGCAGGTAGGACAGAGAGAGGGGCCAGAGGCCAGGAGGCTCAGCCAAAGCTCTGGTGCTCACCTCAATGGAGGGGTGGTTGGAGGGGGAAGAGCCCTGAGCTTTTGAAGACCTACCATTGCTTCCCACCTTCTGTCGCCATGCTGTTCTTGATGCTTCCCTAGATAAAGGTATGGGGCAGTTGCATGCTCTCTGTCAGGTTTTAATTTTTCCAGCATCGGTTAATGCAGTGCTATTTGCATGGACTCAACTGTCTAGGGATTAGTTTGTCTCTGTCTCGTTTTCCTACGAGAATGAGGGCTTCCCTCTGAGTACTTAGTAGTAGTCCATCTCCATTCCTTAGCGGTTGATTTAATGAACCAGGATGGCAACTTCCTCCAAATTGAAGGGGTTAAGCCTCTCAGTTCCAGCCTCTCCTANATAGCAGAATCCGTTTCCCCCCTGGAGCAGCTGCGTGGAAGGGAGGGCTGCAGAAACGAGCTCCCTCCCTCCCTCCCACCCAGCCGCCCCCACCCACAAAGCCACCAACAAGGGTCCTTCCTGAAAGGCCTTTAAGCACAGTTGCCTTTTTTCAGAAAGAGGTAAACATTCCTTTCACCACCACAATTAAAAAAGAGAAGAGGAAGAGAGAAAGAGAAGTTATTTTTTTCCCTTTGGATCCAGCTGAGCGGTCCACGTGTTTATTCCACCGTCTGATTTTTCGTTCTAAGACAGCACTGGAGCCAAGGTGGTCAAAATAATGCTGGGTTGGCGAAAGGGGGCTTGCCCCCTTCCTTTCTTGTCTCCTCCCCTCTCCTCCTTCGGAGGACTCTCGATCTGGAGATGGACTGGTCCACTTACATTATTCATACGGACGAGAGCCCAAGAGATACGGTTACATTGCCAGCTCACATCAAGGGTTAGACCTTCACTCCCCTCCCAGCACCTTGCAGGATCCACACTGAAGGAGAAGAATGGAAGACCTCCCAGCCAGCTCCGAAGACCGTTGTGTGCAAGAACAACCTTCAGTGCAATCTCTGCTGGGCCTGGACAGACCTTCCCCTCAGGTCTCAAGCTTTTGAGGAAGACTGTTGAGGTCTACAACACAGCAGTTGAAGCCGAGGAGAGATATTGAGAGGCCCACAAGGACTTTCTCCAGCTTCCTCCACAGGTAAATAAAACAGAGTCTTCTCTCTTCTTCACTCTGAAATGAGTGATTGCTGAAAACAGAACAAGGGAAGGGAAGTAAGAGATCTTCTGGCTTCAGAGATACACAGGCTGGTTTTCAGTTTCAAAGAGATCGCAGAAATCTTGTGTTTTCTTCATCATGTTTGCTGTCTCCTCCTCTTCCTCCTCTTCATTTCCACATGGACAAAAGTTTGCTGAGCTTTCCCTGGAGGGGTCACGACCTAGGAGAGCATGAACGTCCTTGACCTCCCCAGAAATGGCTAAGAAAGGAAAAGAGGATAAAGAGAAAAATGTCCGAAAGGGGAAGAAGAAACTTGTGGCTCAGTTGGACGATGGGTCAGATTCTGACTTGGCAAAAAGGAACACTGAAGAGAGCGAGATGGACAGCGAGCTGGTGGAGGGAGAGGAGGAGGAGGAGGATGAAGACGACCCTAAGAAGAAGGGGGGGAAGGACAAGAAAGGTGTGGTCAAGAAGGCAGGCAAAGAGAAGAAGGGGCAGTTGGACAAGACCAGGAGGCAGCTCAAAGGAGCCTCCCAGCTGGTCATGGGCCTGACAGCAGAGGACCCCAAGAAGAAAGTGGCCAAGAAGGAACATGCCAAAGCCCAGCTGAAGGGAGCCACCAAGGCCATGGTCATGGCCAAGAAAGAGGCAGCGGTCCCACCCAAGAAAAGGCGGAGCTTGAAGAGCACCTCCAAACTCTTCATGGGCGTGAAAGGGATGGGGCCGCACAAGAGCACCAAGAAGAGCCACTTCAAGAACACCTCGCGCTTCTTCTGGGGCCTGAGGAAGTACAGCACAAAGAAGAAGAAGAAGAACAAGAAGAACAAGGGGGTGCTGAAGTCCACCTCCAACCTGATGATGCGCTTCAAATCTCTTGGAAAGAAGAAGGAGAAGAAAGAGGGAGCCTCCGACAAGGAGACCAAGAAGTCCTCGTTCATGCTGATTCGGTTAGGGGGTGGGAAGTCAGAAGATCAGCAAAGCAAAGGGGGGAGTTTTTTTGGCAACCTCTTCCGGCGGAAGAAGGCAAACCAGAACTTTAAACCCCAGGCCCAGATGGTCAGCAAGGTGGCTGCGGTCACCAACTGGCTGACCTGGAAATTCTTGAGTAAGCGTAATAGATCGAGATACGACAAACGAGCGACTGATGACTCTTGGCTAGCCAAGATTGGAGCCAAGAAACTGCCTTTCCCTTCAGAAGATGAAGTTTTGAGACACCGAGCGAATATGAGGAGAGTTGCTGGAGCCAATAAGTGTACGTGTTTTGGCCAATACCCGGACAAATTTGGCTACTGGGACCCCCTGGATTCTGCCACCTTACAAGATTACTTTGATGATTATGAAGAAGAACGTGGTTGTTACGATGGCCAGTCCCCTTTCAAGTATGGCTTGTCTGGTTATAACCAGGATTGTTATGGGAGGCATCAAATGGAAGAAGGAGATGGGCCTTATGATGAAGACTATGATGAGCAGGACCCTTATGGATACTGCAGTGACAATCAAGATTATGGACCTTCTTTCCATTATCCACCTTATGAACCTTACGAGGATCTCAGCAGTGATTATGAAGTAGAAGGTGTTCCATATTGGACTAGAGAATTAGAACACCCTGATAATCAGGAGGATGTTTACTGCCAGCAGGACATGAATGACGGTGACCAAGAATGGGCCTCCCAGTCTTCGTACAACCCGTACGCCTGTCTGCTGGACGACATAGCTGAGATGGAAGAAGCAGACAGAACGGAGACTGAACCAGAAGATGACCCCATTGCTTTCTCCCATTCTTCTGTTTCTGAACGAGAGATGGGAGGAAAGATGTCTGCCACAGCGCCATTGAACAGGAAGTTCCGGCTTTTCCCGAGGCCCCAAGTGAAGTTGTTCGGCAAGGAAAAGCTTGATGTCCCTCTTCCACCTTCCCCACAGATTTCCCTGGCTTATTTGGATCCTGAGGAAGAAGGCATCACTGAAGAAGAAGAGCAGGAACCTCTAATTTCTCCATTTGCCCAGTTTGATGGTCAGTATTTGGAATCTTTTGGGTCTCAGGAGACTTTTTCAGAGTTGCTCCCTCTGAGCAAGCTTCAGAGGTCCCACAGGAACAACTTAAGTAGAAGGAACGGGGGTTGGGATGCACATCACATGAAGCCTCATCTTTCTCCAAGAGAGTGTGGGAGCCCTCTGGGGCAGTTCCTGCAGCAATCCATCTCTCAGCCGAGACCTATTCTGAAGCACCATGAGAACTGGGGAAGGAACCAACCAGGCATGCATGAGTCCAACAGTAGAACTCTGTCTCCACGGTTTGGGAAGAAGAGTCCTCTGGAGTCATCTTCTCTGCCTCCAAGCATGCCTTTTGAAAAACCAAGTTGTACTTTCCCCTCCAGCTCTGTTAGGCGACTTAGGGGTCCAGGGAGACACCACACTATTCTCACACCTTCTCAAACCACAGTAGCAATGCAGGACGTTCTTCACAAAGAGTTGCAAAGCACTCTCCGGTCAAATTTCAATAGAAAGTCACAGCAAGACCTCAGGTTTTCACAGAGAAATGCCTCATGGTCAACAACTGGACATCAAAATCCTTCCTTCAAGGGGAAGAGGCCACATATTCCCATGTTTTCTCCTTCTCAGAGAACAGCCAAAGAAAACCCAGTTTCATCAGGGGGATGCAGGACAGCCACCATGGAAAACTCACCCAAAGACTCCCTCTCCCAGGCACCTCCTGCCTCTTACCCATCAACACACAAGCGTTTTGGAAGTCAACGCAACCTCTCATCTTCTAGCTTAGCATCTGTTAAAAGCCTGATGGACACCCCTTTCAGTCGTTCATTGTTTTATGTGTCCAGCGCTCCAGAATTTCAAGATTCTGCCAGAAATAGGACCTCTGGAAGGTGTGTCCCAAGAAAATTCTATAATCCCACCAGCAGGAGTTTGAAGTCTCCTCCATCACCTCAACCATCCCTTAGGCATTTTGGATCTCCTCCCATGCCCAGTCACTTACAGTCAAGAAGGGCAGTTCATCAGATATCTATGGACGCTTCGGGAAGCCTACCCCAGGCTTGGAACAGGCAGGCTGAGCCGCCAACGAAAGCAGTGAAGCCATTAATGAGAAACCAGCATCTGAGGCAGTTTGGCCATCGGTCCCCAGTTTTATCTGCTAGGGGTTCTCCTCACATGCTTCCTCGTCAAGGAAGCCACAGAATCAGCATTCGAGAGTCACCCCGAGGGTCATCTCCTTATGCCCAACTTCCCTTTGAAACTGGTAGACCAAAGGAAGCTCAGTCCCAGCCCCAGCCAAGGTGGCTTTGTGCCTCAGAAGAAGGAACAGCAACTCCTTGGAGTTCCTCACCCAAGATGGGAGCTACGAGAAGCTTGAGAAATGGTTTCAACTTGCCCCAATCACCCACTCGGGCTCCAAGCCCCCACAAGGACTTCATTCAGCGCATTGGACAGCCTCTGGTGGGAATGGCTCAGCCTGCTTCTGTTCAGTTCCTTCCTGGAGAAACAAGAGGACATTTAGAAGATGAGAATCCATATCTTGCAGAGTTGGGCCCAGAAGAGTCTGAAGCTTTTTCGAGGCAGCCATTTCCCCAGCATTCTCCATCTGCTATTGCATCAATGAAGCAGAAGACAGAGGCCACGCCTACCAGGTCTTCTACTCCTAAAGGGGCACGTAAGCTCTTGGGTGGGCATTTGTTCTGTACCATCCCTGGTGATAATCCTGGCAATTTGAGGAGGCCCAATCTCAGCCCCTTGTCTCAAAGAACAGTTTCATTCAAAAGACCCTACACTGTGGAAGAAGAGGGCTCCTCTTTGGGCAGACCACCTTCCTTTCGCGGCCAGTATAACAAGCCAAGAAGACCAGATTTTGCCCCCAGACCTCCTGAGCTTCTAGAACATGAAATGGAAGGAGGCGTAGGGAGATACGCAGTGGTGATGCCCCAAGTCCAACTGATGGGTTCTTCTCCTTGGAGAAGGTCCCGGAGACAAAACCAGCCATGGTCTGAGTATCACACGGTGAAGATACATGAGATGCCAAGCGAATGGACCTCTGAGAAGCTCTTCCAGCACCCTCCAGCAGAGAGTTTTAAGGCTCAGGATGTTCATCGTGGAGGAGGGAGAGGGAATGGGGTGTTCTGGTACCTGACGCGGGGAGCATCTGGGTCCAAGAGCGAATATGAAGAGACCAACAAGAACTGGCAATGCAAGGTAATCGAAAGAGTCCTGGTCTGCTGGATGTTGAAGAGGGACAGAGGGAATAAGAGACTGGAAAGCAGAACTGGTGGGGGAGTGAGAATTGGAGGAGGTCCCTTTGAATTCAATTTCTCTTGAATTTCTGAGTTCTGGGCTGTACATGCCCTAAAGCAGGGATCCTCAACTTTGGCAACTTTTAAGACGTGTGGACTTCAACATTCAAAGCTGGCTGAGGAATTCTGGGACTTGAAGTCCACACGTCTTAAAAGTTGCCAAAGTTGAGGATCCCTGCCCTGCCCTGCTCTGCTCTGGGGGACCTACACACCGCCTTAGATCAAAGACGCCCAACATGGCCGGTGTGTGTGCATAATATCCCCTTGTAACCTAAGAGCAGTATGCAAATGGGAGAACATTGAGCGGAGTTGGAACTGGAGGGGAGAATTAATTAGAGAGAAGCAGCTACCTGACTCCTTGTCTCCCGAGTAATGGAGTGAGTCACTGTTTAATAGCCAGCCCACCATGACATCCAATTGAGGTGTGTTTGCTTGCTGTCAAGACGTGGCCTTTGCAGACGCAGAAGGCTTGTTCGGTCACCACCTGCAGACCCTTCCTCTTTTCCGAGGTGGAAGGAATGGCAAGGTGGGCAGGAAAAACAGACTGGTATGGGGAGGAGGCTTCAGCCTAAGTCAGACCCTCCCCCATGCCATGAAATGCCTTCAGTGATGCTCAGCTGCTGCCAGCTCTCAGCTGAACCTCCCTGTCAGGGTGGCTGGGGAGATACAAAGGGGGGTGGCAGGGATATTTTGGAGGCCTGTCTTGACCTTGTCTTCCTACCAACTTCTAGATGCACTGCATTCACAATTTGCACTCGGCAGCCAATCTAGGAGAGGCGAGCCAGGACGGCGTGGATGACTTGACCCAACTGGAGTAAGTGTTGCAGGGCGGGTTCTCAATGGGGAGGCCGAGGGGCGCTGTCCACCCCTGAAAGATGGAGAGGCATGTTTCTCAAACTTGGCAACCTAACAAGGGTGGACTTCAACTCCCAGAATCCCCCAGCAGCACATACACACAGATACCCTGTGCATCTTAAGGGATGTTCTTTTTGCTGTTTACTGTAGTATTTTGGGGTGGGCAGGGCAAAATTGAACCAGGGATTTATGAATAGGAGGGAAAACCAGTTATGAGGGCATCTTCCACTCCTTCATCTGAGGGGGGCGGCTTAGAGCCCTGCTCCCTACGGGCTTTAGGGAGCAAAGCTTCCTTGCTCTCCTGTCATTTCCTCCCGTGCCTTTATCAGGTTTTCTCCCTGGAACTGCTGACGGCAATATTTAGTTCCCCTTCTTAAAGTTGTCCTATGTTCAGCCATGTTTGTTCTCTATGCCACAGAGACCTCCAAGAAAGTGTGGTCCTGCACAACATCCAAAGGAGGTTTGAGCGGGGACTGATCTATGTAAGTTGATCTTTTTCACTTTTGCTTCCTGGGTATTGGAAAAAAAATATCTGGAGTGATGGGGAGGGTCTGGCTTCAAACCCCAGCTAAGCCACAAGATATCCTGGGAGGACCAGACTTGGTCTTCCTTGCAGCCTTGTAAGGACGGTGGAGTTAGAGAATTTGGCACGTGAACAGTGGTCTTTTTTTCTGCAAGGAAAAAAAGACTCAAGATTCATTTTCGCGTTACGTGGAAAATAAGAGAGACGACATTGACAGAGATTTATTTATTATTATTATTATTTATTAAACTTATATACTGTTCATCTTGCCAGAGGCAACTCTAGACAGATATATGCAAAATCTGTTTGTCTTTTGACAAGATCCTCTTTCTTACTCTCTGCTACTAATAAATGCAAGCTTAAACAAAATATAGGTGTTAAATTGAAAAGTTCTGGAAGGTTTTGAAATGTTGCTTGCTTTTTGTAAGTTCTCACCTTATAATAGTAATAATAATAATAATAATAATAATAATAATAATAATAATAATAATAATAATAATAATAATAATAATAATAATAATAATAATAATAATAGTAAAGTTGGAAGGGACCTTGAAGGTCATCTAGTCCAACCCCCTGCTCAGGCAGGAAACCCTATACCATTTCGGACAAATGGCTGTCCAGTCTCTTCTTAAAAACTTCCAGTGTTGGAGCATTCACCGCTTCTGGAGGCAGGTTGTTCAATGTCTGTTCATAAAGCGTAGGAATTGTCTAAGTCAGACTAAACCAGGAGTTTATTCTTATGTATAGAGCATGAAGTCATTGTGTTTGGATTCACACAGAGCACTAAGTTCTCCATAATTTTGTGGTTTTTCCTTTATTTATTATTATTTATTATTTTAATTTCTATACCGCCCTTCTCCCGCAGGACTCCCTAACATGTGTTCTCTCTCTCTCTCTTACACACACATACACAACTTGTTCCTCTTTCTCTCTGCCAGACCTACATAGGTAGCATCCTGGTGGCAGTGAATCCTTACAAAATGTTCAACATCTACGGAACAGACCACGTCCTGAAGTATGAAGGCAACGCTTTGGGAGAGAACCCACCGTGAGTCTGTCACTGGCTGCAGGGCTGATCCGGAGGGCGTTTCAATCAGTCCTACAGAAATGGGGACAGTTTCATTACACTGGGCTCTTTTGACAGCATATTCTGAGTCCTAGTGGCCATGAGGATGTCCTCATGATCTTCTGTGGCTCTGGAAAGGCCGACTGTGTGCTTGCTGAAATCTCAGAGGTTTGGATGAATAATATCTCAGTTGTTTCTCAGCCTTCTCAACCAACCAACTAGTGTCTTTCAGGGGATTTGCAACTACAATTCCTATCATTCTGGTTCTCTGCTTTTATCGGTTAGGGCTGTGAATCCAAAACAGCTGGAAAGCATTAATGAACGGTCTTCCCTCATATATTTTTACTTTAATTGGCAGCGATTGTCTAAGATTGCAACTAGGTAGAACTACCCGTGCTGGTGTTTCTATATGTGGTTCCTTCCATATGTTTCTAACTATTGTCACTAAGGCTTGTGGGGATGCTAGCTAGAAAGACACCAGTTTGACTTGAGAGCAACCTGCTCCCTGTTTTAAAGGCAGCTTGAAACGTCCTTCCTTCCTTTCCTCTGCAGGCACCTTTTTGCAATTATTAACGTTGCCTACAGCAAGTTGAGAGACGCCAAACTCAACCAATGTATCATTATTAGGTGAGATCTGATAAACTGGCTAAAAAGAGAAAGAGAATCCCCCCCTTGTCTTCTTTCAAGTTCGGTTCCTTAAGCTGTTGAGATGTTTCAGGTGGGCTCAGGTGTCCTTGCTGTCCTTACATTCCTTCCGTCTGGTTGCTTCCAGTGGAGAAAGTGGATCGGGCAAAACCGAGGCCACCAAACTGATCCTTCGCTACCTGGCAGCCATCAACCAGAAACACCTTGCGACCCAGCAGGTAGGACAGAGGGGGGGGGCAGAGGCCAGGAGGCTCAGCCAAAGCTCTGGTGCTCACCTCAATGGAGGGGTGGTTGGAGGGGGAAGAGCCCTGAGCTTTTGAAGACCTACCATTGCTTCCCACCTTCTGTCGCCATGCTGTTCTTGATGCTTCCCCTAGATAAAGGTATGGGGCGGTTGCATGCTCTTTGTCAGGTTTTAATTTTTCCAGCATCCGTTAATGCAGTGCTATTTGCATGGACTCAACTGTCTAGGGATTAGTTTGTCTCTGTCTCGTTTTCCTACGAGAATGAGGGCTTCCCTCTGAGTACTTAGTAGTAGTCCATCTCCATTCCTTAGCGGTTGATTTAATGAACCAGGATGGCAACTTCCTCCAAATTGAAGGGGTTAAGCCTCTCAGTTCCAGCCTCTCCTACTTGATTTGGTGGAATGTAGGAAAGGATCTCAGCCCCAAATTCAGTTGTTGCTCAGAGGTCAAGCTACAGAAAATAAATATTCTGACTTATTCACTTTCACACCAGCTGGTCCTTTACACTCTCTCTCTCTCTCTCTCTCTCTCTCTCTCTCTCTCTCTCTCTCTCTCTCTCTCTCTCTCTTCGCTCTGCCCTGTTTTTTATGGGGCATTCAGGGGTTTTTCTGTGTTTCCCTCTGGTGCTTTGGCAGGCTGGTTTTTGGCGATTAAATAAAATCAGGCTGATGTAACAACCAGGGATGTTGTGGTTTACAGACATTACCGTGCCTCTAATTGATCCTATTCTTAGGTCCTATCCATTTTATTGCTTCCAATGGGGATTTGCAACAATTGCTGCTTAATTGCCCTTTGGCAAGGTTTGCCCTTTTTATGGGAGAAGAGGACTGAGGAATTTATTTCTCATTAGGGATTTCCTCCTCTTTTTTTAAAAAAAAAAAACACCCCACACAATCGGGCTCTCTTGCTAAATAAAAATGCATCCTCAAAAGCAACAGAAAGAACCAAATCATTCAACTGCCTCGGCCCAGGAACAGGAAGGACAAAGTGAATTGAAGGAATGGTTTGGTTTGGTTTGATTTCATCTGAATTGCTCCTGCATTCATCTGCCTCTGGGTCTGGAGGTTTTCAAATATATCCACGCCTTCCTTAGTGCTTTGACTTTTAGATATGTATTGCTCTTGTATTTTATCTGCCTGAGTCAGATTCTCGAAGCAACCCCTCTTCTGGAATCATTTGGAAATGCCAAGACTGTGCGGAATGACAACTCCAGCCGATTTGGAAAATTCGTGGAACTCTTCCTGGAGGAGTAAGTAAACCGATGCCTGGGTCTTCCCATCATGTCCCCCCCCCTCCTTACAGCCTCTCCGTTTCTTCCCACACAATCCTGCCTTCAAGGGCCCTGCATAACATGGATAATCCTCAACTCACAGCCATTTGTTTAGAGACTGTTTGAAGTTAACAAGGGCACTGAAAATGTGACTGACTTGAGCTGTTGTGTTTCTCCAGCAATGGGTTGATCTGTGGTGCCATCACCTCCCAGTACCTTCTGGAAAAATCCAGAGTCATCTTTCAGGTGAGGTTTTCTTCCATTCTTGGGTTGACATAGTGACTCTAGCAAGGCAGGTGAGAACTGCAAAACAGAGGATTGGCCGGTTCCTTTTTAAGAATCACAAACAAAACCTTTGGAAGAAAATGAAGATTAGCATTTGCAGGGAGCTGGGATGGAAAGGGCCTCTCTCCAGCTTGAACATGTTACGAATATTGCATTGGATTAAGCTGACAATAGAATAGAATAATAGAATAACAGAGTTGGAAGGGACCTTGTAGGTCATCTAGTCCAACCCCCCACCCAAGCAGGAGACCTTATACCGTTTCTGACGAAGCTGGTTACTTTGATCCTTTAAAATTAACTGAATGGTACTGTTGGTTGCCCACATTTGTCCAAACTAGGATGATTGTCTATGGAAGGAATGAGAGATGGATTAGATTTGGACAGCAGTTGAACATGTATTAAATAACAGGTGGATTTTTTTCTGGCAATAAGGAAAATTGTAAAGATCCCTCTAGCATTATGAGCTGAGCCCTCTCAATAAATGATTCTTTTTAAAAGAGTTCTCCAAGAGTGCTTAGAAATATCCAGTCAAGTGTAAGCCTATGTATTTTTTATTCTATTTTTTCCTTACTTTCATTGCTAGCCATTCTGGATTTTTGCACATGGGGATTAAAATATCTTGGTTTCTGACTCTTAATTATTCTTCACATCCATCAGTCTTGTCTGACTCTTTCCCTAGGCCAAAAATGAACGAAACTACCATATCTTTTACGAGATGCTAGCTGGTCTCCCCACACAGCAAAAGCAGATGTTTTGTCTTCAAGGGGCAGAGACCTACTATTATCTCAACCAGGTATGGAGCTGAGTGAGAACTCCTCGTAGTTATTTCTTCATGATGATGCCTTTGACTTTCAATTTCTGTTTCTTCCATTTCTCAGATACGTAAAAGGTCCCCAAAGTGGCTCAGATCAGGTTCTAAAAAAAAAAAATACTTTCTCAGAGACTTCTCATGAGATGAAATGGGAAAGGAAAAAAGAGGGGTGAATTCTTAAAATCCAGGAGAAAGGAGTGAACTAAAAAAAAGTGGGCCTTGATCTAGGTTGGGCCAACTAATCCTCGTTTTCTGGGAAAAGTCAGTATTGGTCACCTCCTGCCAATTGTCTCAGGACACTTAAGCAGAAAAAGATGATGGCTCCATTGGACGAGAAGATGATTGTTCTGGATTCTCCTGCCATTAAAGGCACTAGGCACAGGCTGTTGGGAGTCAAATGTTTTCCTGCTGTCTTCCCCAGGGAGGCAACTGTGAGATTCCTGGCAAAACAGACCTAGAAGATTTTCATCGGCTGCTTGACACCATGGAGGTCTTGAATTTCAGCCTCCAAGACCAGGACAGCATCTTCCGAATCTTGTCTTCCATTCTTCACCTGGGGAATGTTTATTTTGAAAAGTATGAGGTAGGAGGCAACATTGGATGTCAGGGAGAGGATTCCTTATTCCAAGGAAAGCTGTTTGAGCTTGATTTGGGTGCTTGCAGACCGACTGCCAGGAAGTGGCCTCAGTGCTGAGCGCCAAGGAGATCCGGGTCGTGGCGGAGCTGTTGCAGATCTCTCCTGAAGGCTTGCAAAAGTCTATCACCTACAAAGTGACGGTGAGGGAGTGAAAATCTAGACATGCACACACACACAAAAAAAGCAGATGCTGTCCTCAGTCTGTAATGAGATCCACACTGAGCCCATAACTCATTTACAACATCTTGGGTAGTTCTGGTGTTTTGTTTTCCCCCAAGTGTTGTTTGCAAGAAACAACACTTCAGAGCCAAAACGGAACAAGTGGAGTCAGCACAGGAAGTTGGAACAAGCTTTGAGATGGTCCATAGCAAGGAGGACTGGAGTCTGTTGAGAAGGTCAGGTCTTACCATCAATGGATGGAGAAACTGCTCACCACAACCCCTGAGTTGGAGTCCCACTTTTTGAGCAAACGGGGAAGTTCGGAAGGTCCCGTAATTAGCCAGGGGCTCTTTTCTGCCCACCCCAAAGCCCCAGTTCCCATTTCCAACCTTTGTAACTCACAATCATGAGACTCTTATGACTACTATACTTAGATCTTCTGAACTGAATGCCCTCTCTTTGGACATGAAGATATCCTTTGGTAACTATTCCACAGTAAGAAAACTCCAGAAGTCCCATCCAAGGGTACCACTGTGAAAACAGTTTAGAGTGCTGGTGGGGGCAGGGAAGGGAAGGCCGCCATCTTGCTTCTTCCTTTGCTTTTTGATAGGAAACGATGAGGGAGAAGATTTTCACACCACTCACTGTGGAAAGTGCTGTGGATGCCAGGTAAAGAGAGAATGGGGGCAGGGGAAAGGGAGGTATGAGGCCCAGCTTGGCGCCCTACATTGGAGACCACCATGCTTACAACAACATCAGTGGCCTGCATGTGTCCTTCCAGTTCTGATGTTCTGCCTTGTGGGTGGTCTTCCCTTAATCCTCTCTTCTCAGAGACGCCATTGCCAAGATCCTTTACTCGCTGCTCTTCAACTGGCTCATGGACAGGGTCAACAAGCAGATGTGCCCCAAGCAAAACACCCTCTCAATTGCCATCTTGGATATCTACGGGTTTGAGGTGAGGAAGAGAGAGTTAGGCTAAAGAGGCACCTTGGGGTGCTCTGTCCTGCACCTGGAGGAAAGAGACAGGAAGAGAACGCAACCAGGAGGTCCTTTGGAACCTTCCTCTTCCGATTTACAGAGGCCGTAGTTCAGGGTTAGACGTCTTCTGCCACCGAGCCTCAAGCTGGACCTCTAGAAAATTCCTGGATTGTCCTCTTTTTTTGCAATGTCTTTGCAAGTTTGGGCCCTTCTCTTAGATCATTCCAGCTTGTTAATGAAGGTCAACAATTCTGCTTAAGCACCAGTCTATTTTTGTTGGTGGTTCCTTGCAGCTAATATCTGATCTGCTGGGTTAATTTATTTGGTATATGACTGCCAAAGACTGACTCCTTAGAGCAGGAGTAGGCAACCTTGGCTCTTTTACAACTTGTGGACTTCAACTCCCAGAATTCCTGAGCCAGCATAGTTGAAGTCCACGAATCATAAAAGAGCCAAGGTTGCCTACCCCTGCCTTAGAGCTTTTGGGACCGAATAAAAAGCACGCAACCAAATTCTAAAAACAGCAGAAACGATCCACGTTGGATGACTGGAGCGTCTCAATTCCTTTTTCTCCCTCCCTCCTTGCTTTTCCCCATAGGATCTTGGTTTCAACAGTTTTGAGCAGCTGTGCATTAATTATGCCAATGAATATCTCCAATATTTCTTTAACAAGATTGTCTTTAAGGAAGAACAGGTAAGACCAGGAGGAGCCAAAGCCCTTGAGATTTTAAAGGCTGCTGGTTGAATCAGATTCACCACCAGCTTTGTGCAAAGGAATCTAAAACGGAGCTGGCATTTTATTTGGTGGCTCTCTGCTTTAGGTTAGAAGCCAGGTGACCCCCTTGGAAAATGTCCCAATGCAGTTTTTGAAAGAGATCCTCACTGTTTATGGTTCAAGAAGTAACCGAAGTCTTTGAAGGGACGGCCATCCCCAGAGTTCTTAGAACTTCGGGAAACACCCTTCGTGGGAAAGATTCTGCTTTGGAGGGGACTCAGACTTGGCCAGCTGGACCTGCATTCTGGTTGAGGCCGTTTCTTGGTCTTGCTTTTCGTGAAGGTTACTTAGCAAAACGGCAGCAGCTTTTTGTTCTTTTGTTTTTAATCAGTGATGCATCTGCTGCTGTGGTTATGGACAGCAGGGGCTCACTGGGGCTGCTGTGTTGTCCTCAGGAAGAATATATCCGTGAGCAGATTGAATGGAGAGAGATTGCTTTCACAGACAACCAGCCCTGCATCGAGCTGATTTCCCAAAGGCCTCACGGCATTTTGAAGATCCTGAATGACCAAAGCAGTTTCCCTCAGGTGATGTGGCCTCCACTGGCTTGGTGCAAGGCGGAACTCGGGAATTAATCGAAAGAAAGGCTTCCTGCCTATGGGAAAGCCTTCTACCCAGCTTCAGAAGGACTTTGCGCATAGATCCCCTAAATAGCATTTGCCTCCCAAAACTTCGTCATAAGTCCTGAGCAGGGGAAAGGTCTTCTCCTTATGAGGAGGGTGTTCCTTGGAGATAAGTCAGTCCGAATGTCTTGGGGGTGATTTATGATTGTGCCTCCATCTTTCTAGGCTACGGATCACACATTCCTTCAGAAATGCCACTATCATCATGGCTGCAATCCCCTCTATTCCAAGCCAAAAATGCCACTGCCCGAATTCTCTATCAAGCACTATGCAGGAAAAGTAACCTACCAGGTGAGGAGGAGGAGGAGGAGGAGGAGGAGGAGGAGGAGGAGGAGGAGGAGGAGGAAGAGGAGGACATATCTGCACCATCACGTGTCCAGGAAGGTTTGGGAGGAGAATCTTGATTTGTGAGATCTCAGCAACCAGTTTTGGTGCCATCAGCTGTTTCCATTACAAGCTCAGAGGCTGAGCACTCAGCTTTCTGTCTGCCATCCGGGCTGAACTGTCATCCTGCACAATATGTTCCATCATAGCAGCCTAAGGAAAATGGAGCTGGAAGCCAACATTCATGGGCATCATCCAGCTGAGAAATGAGCCATGGTTTGTTCAGCCTTCTCAAGCCGGGTGCCACCCAGAGAACTTGGGACGTCGGCTCCTGAAATTCTTGATGGTGACTCACTTTCTCTTCCTGCTTGCTCCTAGGTGCACAAATTCTTGGATAAAAACTACGACCAAGTTCGCCAGGATGTCCTCGATCTTTTTGTCAACAGTAAAATCAAAGTAGGTGCTTAAACTGACCTCTCAGTTGGCCCCGATTCTTCCAGTTTGCACAAGTTTAAATGTTTACCTTGCAATGTTTGGAAAAGGGAGAAGGAGGGACATGTTATTAGAAACAAAGAAATAAATACGGGGTGGGGAGAGGTTTATAAGACACATAAAGCAACTTATAGTCTAACATAAACTATTAATAATTGCAGAGCAATAAACCCACCCTTATTATTAATCCTGGTTTGCCTAAATGTGATGAACATGATGGTGATTCTGATTTGTCCAGCAACCTAGCGAATTCCTTCTAGATTATTAAAGGATCTTGGCTTAATCCTTCTTTCCCAGTTTAGCCCACCTCCCCAAATCCCTGAAGAATAAAATAAATAGGGGAGGGGAGAGATTCGTCTACAAGCTTCTTGGAAGAGGCTGGGATCCCGTTGGGCATGAAGGGATGAGCAGCGATGGAGCCATTTCTTCCTCCTTGTCTGCTCTGCTCTCGGCTTAGATGGTCGCCAGCCTCTTCTTCAGCCACGCTCAGTTGGTGGCTCAGCAGAGGACCATGATGGGGAAAAGCAGCACGAGCAAACGGAAGTATAAGCCCCAAACGGTGGCTGCAAAGTTCCAGCAGTCACTTCTGGACCTGGTGGAGAAGATGGAGAGGTATTTGGAACAGGACTCCAGTCTTAAGGTCAATTAACAGATGCAACGTGGACACAAGACCCCGCCTCCTTCAGAGGTTGTGGGTGCTCCATCCCTGGAGCTTTTCAAGAAGAGACTGGACAGCCTTTGGTCTGAAATGCTACAGGGTCTCCTGCTTGAGCGGGGGGTAGGTCTAGAAGACCTCCAAGGTCCCTTCCAGCTCTGTTATTCTATTTTTCCATTTCCCTTGCTTTCCCAATAGAAAGCTCGGACACGTTTGGTTTCTTTTTCAAGGGGTTTGTTTTGCTTTATCCTCCAAGCAATTTTGCTCAGACGTTTATCTCTTTCTCTCTCTGCAGATGTAACCCTTTCTTCGTTCGCTGCCTCAAGTCCAACAGTAAGAAGGTAGGGAGGACTCCATGCTATCTCTCTCCTGCTCCTGTTTTTCCCAAATCAGGCAGTTCCTATCCCTATTCGTTTGAGGATAATGTATATGTCCTTCTCCATCCTGCCCATCAATTGCATTTTAACTCAACTGTCTCTTTTGGATGCACAGCAATAAGTAGATTATTACTTGTTCAACAACTTCTCCTCCTCCTCCTCCTCCTCCTCCTTCCCCCCCCCTCCAGGAACCAGGACTGTTTCAGGCTGATACAGTCAGCAACCAGCTACGATCCTCGGGAATCCTGGAGACCATCCGAATCCGCAAGGAGGGCTTTCCTGTCCGGATCCCATTCCAGATCTTCATTGACAGGTGCAGACAAGCCCTCTGAGATCCTTGGTCCAAAGCTATTCCAGCCTGGGACCAGAGCTCCGGGGCCCTAGATCCAAGGGCCAGAGCGGAGGAGGAATCCTTGTAGACCACGAGGCTCAGGTGTCATGCCAACATTGCAGCATGGGAAAAGCAAGTCCACCATACGATGGCTTAGCACTTCATCCCAGTCCAATCCGTGTCTCCTCAGGTACCGTTGTCTGGTGGACATCCGTACTGACATCATCCCAGATGGGTGGAATTCTGTGGGGGTGCTGAAGAAGCTGTGCCCAGTCACCCCAGAGATGTACCGCATTGGCACTACCAAGGTAAAACCGCCATTGTTGATGATAACTTAAATACAAGAAGTTACAGAACAAAAAGTAGAGGGACGCTGCACGACGGGGTCCCTGATCTTTAGAGAAGGGCTTGGTGGATTCTTCTCAACTGATTCTGCTCACAGTGTGTCTGGATGGATTTGGACATCAAGAACGGCTGTTCAGGTTCTCCTATGCCAGGTCTTCTCCATCACCAGCTGTTCCACCTGGTCACTGTGAAATGGTCATGTAACCATGGGAACAACCTGACATTACCTGAATCCCCATATTTTGCTTTTCCTTCACCTATCCTTCCTCTTCCTCCTCTAGCTCTTCATGAAGGAAAACATCTACCAGCATCTGGAGGCCAAGCGGGAACAGATTGTCCAGATGGCAGTGGTGACCCTCCAACGTTACGTCCGTGGCTTTTTGATCAAGAAACGCTTTTATGCCTTACGCTGCAAGATAATCCTATTTCAAGCCCGGGCACGGGGTTATCTTGTCAGGTGCTGAGTTGGACTGTCCCTGAGGGTCTTGGGGGGGGATGCTTGTGGACGGGCTTGAATAGAGCCTCTGTCGTGTGTGGACCAGCCTGTCATCACTGAAAGGCTTTTCAGAATTAATATTCTAATCCGGTATAAAGTCTAATTCTCTGCCCAGTCAACCAAATATTCTCTGAAAAACACTTGTAGGATCTTCTAAGTCCCTCCTGTGTTTGGGGTTAACAGCTTAGGGATCTCAGAAAACTCTAAGATGCATTTCCAGCTGAATTCTGAACAGATTCAACCACTCCCACTGATCATCTAAAAGACCATGCCCTTTCTACTCCCTCATTTTAGCATCTTGTGAGGTGGGTTCCTCTGAGAGTGAGGGACAGGTTTAAGGACCACTCAGGTGGACTTGCTTAACTTAGTAGGAATTTTGAGGACTTCCCCAACTTGGTGTTCTCCAGACATGCTGGAGTGCCTCTCCCATAATGTCAGCCAAGATCCCAACAGCCTTGCTGGATGGGGTGAGATGATGGATCTCCAAAACCTCTGCAAGAGGTCATGTGGGCGAATGTTCCTCCCACCTTCTCCCTCGGATATAGATACCATCTTTGTCCATTACTGTGTTTTGATTTGATTTTTTACCCTGGGTAGGAGAAAATGTTGTTGAGACTTGGGGTGATCTTTCCCACCTCCATCCCGGGGGTTTCCCGTCCTGCAGGCAAAAATATGGGAGGCTGCGTCAGACGCTCATCAAATTCAGGTGCCTGGTACGCATCTACCTGAACCGCAGGAGGTACCTCAAGGTGCGTCCCTGGGGGCTCTGAGTGCAAATCGGGATGTGGGAAGAGGATTTGGGAGAGAGGGATTTTGTGTTAGGCATCGCATAATAAATTGCCCAAGTCATTTGAGGCCTACTCTGCAGGGTGGACTACAGTTCCCACATTATCAATTACCCCAAGTTGGGGCCTTCTCCAAGAAAAGTATTTGCTCTATCCTTGCACCCAGGTGCTCTGGAATAACATATTCAATTGCTTCAGAACACTCAGGCATCCAAGGCAGTGTTCCTGTTCGGTGCATGGACCATCGAGCTGTACCTGGAGATCTTAGAAATTGGTCTTGGGCAAGCAGAGATCCAAAACACACTTAGGGTCCCAACCTCAGTTTGAAGGAGTCTTTGAACATTTTGCATTTTGTCTTTTGTCTCAATATGTGGACTTTCTGCTTCAGGACTGGATCAAAGTATCCTGATCTTCTTTGAGATGGAATTCTATTCATGAGGTGGAGTGCTTCTCTGACCTTGAAATCTCACTCTCTGCTTTCAGAGGAAGGACGAGGAGCGTCGAATTGCAGAAGAGGAGAAGAGAAAGGCTGAGCAGGTAATTCTCGAGTGTTTTAGGGTGGCTTGGGGGCGAGGGGGTCAGTCTGAAGACTTTGCACAGCACGCAGACACTTCCAAGGCAAATCCACACGGTTTTAATTCTTTTGAGGAGAACTTGCACTGCAAAAAAATATTACTTTGGTAACTTGCATATGCAACTGGGGCAATTTTGCTTAATGCACTAGAAGGGAAACAATCATCGGGATAATTAAAGGTGACTCATTTCTCTGGGTTCCACTAGGAACTGAGTCAGCGAGAAGTGATGAAAGTGGCAGACTTGGAAATCCCTGCTGATCTGGTCGGACTCTTAAACACAGTGGCTGGTAGGTCATGATCCACTATGAACCAAGGGAATTTCAAGAGGGTGCCCACGTGAACGTCTCCGAGGATTTTAGAGGCCAGATCGTTGAGGTCCCACTATAACATTTCCAGTAAGGAAGTTAATTCCTCCTCCGTACCACTGGTGGCAAGTTGAGTAAACCACAACGTCTTAGCTGTCAGAAGGCACCAGACGCTGAATTGTTTGCTTATAGCTGTAGACCTGTTGGCCTATCTCTGCCAGTTGCTTTAGCTCTGGACGGGTACATTACAAGCATTGCTTCAAAAAACACACACAAAAAGAAAGTGCCTGGATGGGTCTCCCACTTGCATTCTGGGTCCCAGAAAAGGGAGACTACCTCTAGCATTAGAGAGAACCTATTGCCCACTTGACATGGTCCAGCCAACGTTTTCTTGCATTCTCATTGGTGAACTTAAGGGGTTAGGATGGGGAACCCCCCCCCCTTTGCCTTCTGCACTGGCTGCCTTGTTCCTATTCCTCGTAGTTCACAAGCAAGTGAATGAGGACTGTGTCACCCCTGTCCCCCCACCCAAGATGCAGGCCGACTCCCAGCTCACCCTGCCTCTTGACATCAACAATTACTCCATGGCCAAGTACGTGCAGCTCTACTTCAAGGTAAGGGTGACAATGCTGGGCTTAATGGTGTAAAGTGTGCTTCATTCACGTCATTGTTGGAAGGTAGACCGAAAGGTCACCCTTGTGGTTGAGTTTACATGCTGCATTTAGCCATGCATTGGGTTTAAAACATGGCTAATTTAGCAAGCCACCATGGCTTGCTTTGTAGGTATCCTTTAGGAAATCAAAAGTTGACTCAAAAGTGACATGTTAGACCATTGGCATTGGGTTATAAGCTACCCTGAGTTGATTTATTCTTACTTATGCAACTCACTTTATTTAACAATTGGGATGGTGCCTCAGTCTCTAGAAGAACTCTTGATTGATTGATTGATTGATTGATTGATTGATTGATTGATTGATTGTTTATATGCCCTACTTCAGTGTCAACTCTTACTGACCACATATAGACCTTCTCCAAGATGGTCTCTCCCCAACCTGATCCTTCAGGTCTTCCAACAATGCCCCCACCACCACTGTAATTGACCCCATTCTTGCTGCTGGTTGCCTTCTTCTCTTTCTTTCTACTTTTCCCAGAATTAGGCCATCTAGAGAGAGCCGGGTGTTGCCATAAGGCATCCAAAATAGGATAATTTGAGATTGGTTGCTTATGCCTCAAGAAAAAAACACTGGACTGATTTGTTGGATGATCCACAGAGAAACTCTAAGCTGAACTGGAGCTAAACCACTCTTAAGGGGTTGTGTGACTTTTGAAACTTTTGTCTTTCTCGCTCTGGGTAGGGCCTCCTCCACCACCGTCTCTGTCAAGAAGGGTGTGCAAACGAGTCTTTCGGTCACTTCTCTGTCATTCCACAGGAGCCACTTTTTGGGATGCTCACGAGGACTCTGTCATCCCCCCTGACTCAGTTAGATGAGAGTTTGGCCCCTGAAGCTCGTAACCTCTTCAAACTGGTAGGTGAAAAGTGGATTGCTCCCTCCAGCCTGGTCAAATGGTGGCCATCAACATAGTGGTAGTGGTAGTGCGCATTTTTGGTCACTCTCTGGATTTTCTCTGTGGTAGGTCCTCCGCTTTATGGGCGATGCCCAGCTCAACGGCATCCAGGAGAACCTGTTTGGGAACTACATTGTACAGAAGGGGCTCTCTATGCCAAGCCTGCAAGATGAGATCCTGGCCCAGATTGCCAACCAAGTGTGGCGGAACACCAATGTCCACAATGAAGAACGGGGCTGGCTGCTGTTGGCCTCGTGTGTCAGCGCCTTCGTGCCCTCCCCCCAGCTGGCTAAGTACCTGCTGAAGTGAGTGGGGTCAGGTCTACCTCCAAAGGAAACCCAAAGAGGACAGCTGCATTAGCTGGTGACGATGGTGACCATAGGAGAGGGCAGTAGCACTGGGTGAGGGTGGCCCTCCTCTTCATCTTCTTCCCAAGGCCACAAGAGGAATTTAAAAGGAGGCTCCACCAGCTGGCCTGACGTTCATGGCCAGGAGAGATAGGAACACAGCTCGGTTGACCCTCACTCATCCATCTATTCTGAGCATGACTGCCAGGTGTGCTGCATGGCTGGCATCTTCTTTTATTCACTGTCTCCCTCTGCACTTCTCCCCATCCACCCAGGTTTGTTTCGGACTATGCCTCGGATAGCTATCAACCTGTCTGCCAACACAAGCTCATGCAAGCAATGGCAAGGGGCCAGGATGGTGGGGAGGCCGCCCGAGCTTATCCACCCACCCTTCTGGAGTGGACAGCCAGCCGGGACCGAGTGAACATGGCCCTTGATGTGTACTGTTTCAATGGTGAGTTAAGGAAGACAGCAGAATGGGTTGGGAACCGACAGGCAGGTGAGAAGTCTCCTTCTCTAGGACCTGGGAGTTTGCTAGAGAAACACCCACCGCAGGAAGAGGAAAGGCCCAAAGCTGAATGGCTGGGAAACTGAATTCAGATCCCTAATTGTAGGCATGTGGGGAAAACCTTGGGAGACGGGGAAAGAGAGGCTGCCTAGGGAATGATCAGATGACAGAGGACATAAACCACAGCTGCACATGTAGAGAAGAAGACTCAGAACTGAACCAAAGTTCTCAGGCTGTAAGAGAGACGCTGGGAGATTTGTACTTTCAGACTTGCAAGATTCTGTTAATGTAGCCTTCCAAGAAAGAAGGATTAGCTCATCTGGGTTTCCTGTTTGTTCTGTGTGGAAAGGCTGACAAAATAAGGCAGCAGGAGGAGCATCTATCAGAGTGAATGACTTGAGTTTTGTTTCAACAGGAGACCGTTATTCTTGCCCTGTCCATTCCTGGGCCACAGGGGAAGGCCTTGCTGAAAGTGTATTGAAATACAGGTAGAAGAAACGGGACGTGGGGGATATGTGTAGTGGGATGGAGGAAGAGGGGGTGGGCTCCATTTCAATGGCCTTTTCCTCCAGCTCTCCAAGCACTGGAAGTCAGAGGCAAGGAGCTCTTGAGAAGCTCCTTAGAGATCTTGTCTCATCCACCTTGAGCCCCAGCTTCCCGATGTTGGACTCCTCTCCTCCCAGCAGAACACACAGTGGCTAAGCCCCAATGCTCCTTCACAGGGGTCTTCCAGAGGGATGGCGAGGCTGGTCCGTCACCATGAAGGATGGTGCCCAGTGGGCCGAGCTGGCTGGCCACGACTACGTTTTGGATCTGATTTCTGATCTGGAGCTGATCCGAGGTTTCCCCAAGCAGAAGTCCTATTTCATCCTTGCCTCTGAAGACCCAGAGAAATACACTGGTGGCAAATTGTAGGTTGCATCATGGCTCTTCCTTGGAAGGGGTTAGGGTTTAAGAGCTTTCATTGGTTCGGGGGGCTTACCAAGGAAGAAGAGAACAGCCAACATGGGGTGGTGTTACCCCCAACAATGGGAGACCCAAGTCTTGGAATTGAGGTGGTTGTAGACTCTTCTGTCTTCTATGGTCTTGACCCTGGATGGGACGGAATGATTCTTCCCTAGACTGTGAAAGAGGTTCTGCTTAGATATCATGGATCTAGACCAGTTCCGGACCATCCCTAGGTCAAGTTTGACTTTGGTCTTTCCTTCTGCTGCTCTCCTCCTTCTGCTTCGTAGGGTTTTCCAACGTGGTTCGGATTCAGATGGGAGAGTTCCTCCTCCGCCATTGATGAAGGCTCCCACTGTGGCCTCTGCCCCCCTGCCAGACTCTGAGGGATATTGCAGCCATGGTGAGAATCTGGGATGCGACTTATGGTTTGTGTCAGAGCATGGGATCCATCTTTGCAAGATCTGGGGTAATCCTGCAGCCGGGGGCCATGCAAATGTGAAGACTGTGTTAGAGCAGTGTTTTTTGATCTTGGCCTTTTAAGATGGGTGGACTTTGACTCCCAGAATTCTGGAAGTCCACCCATCTTAAAGAGGTAAGGTTGGAAAACATTGGATTAGAAGATGCATTTTTTCTCACTGGAGCTCAGGGTTGAAAGAAAAAAGTCTGCAAGAAAAAGACGAAGCTCATAGAGCACCAAGGACCCCACATTTCTCTCTGCCCGTTGGCTGCATTCACACTAAACAATTAAGGGCTGTTTTGTGCCACGTATCCCCCATTAGGCTGCTGACATGGGAAATGTGTCTTTTGAAAAATGTTTCTCTACCAGCAATAAAAATGGCAAAAATGTCATTTTCTCTTTGCAATTGATCTTATTTATATTTCTTTTTTTAAAAAAAACCTGCAAACAGATTCAGATACCTGCAGTGAACCCAGGAGCCAAAAAGGACTGGATCACTATCTGGATAGCCTCTTTGATCCTGTGCTGTCCTATGGAAAAGGGGTAAGACTAGCCTCCCTCTCTCCCACACCCCCTAGATTCAAAAAAGGCCACCCCAGAGTATCTTGTGTTTTTCACAGAAATTTGTTTTTCCAAGAGCTAGAAATTCCAAATGTGCATTGCTAACATATTGAAGGGTGATCAGATATGTTAAGAACGTGTGAAAGAGCTCAGCTCAAAGCATTTTTTTCAGCCCCTGTGGGTTCTGGACTTGGGGGTCCTGAAGGGGAAAATGTGTCTATAGAACTGCTTTGATTTCTACCCACAAAGGAACTAGAGAAGCCAGCCGCCATCTCACGAAGGATGAAAGGTGGTGGCCACGTTGGAGAAGGCAATGGTGCAGTGGTCCCTCAGACCTTTGGTCAGTACGAGCTGGGCTACCTTAGTGTACATATTTGTTGGGGAAAAAAAGCTTTGTCTGCAATCTTTTTGGATGTGCTAGTCTTTCCGGGGCACTTTACAAACATTTAGAAGTGCAGAAACAGAACCGTAACAATAATATCCATGCTCCAACTCTACGGTTATCATCATCAGTGCTGGAATAAGACACAGCTGGTCCAAATTAAGAAGACATTAGAAGAGAAACGGTTTGTGCAAAGCCTGCCAATGATGAAGAAAATTTCAAAGCCCAGAGGCCGCCCCAGCCTGCATCTTATGGACGGTGGTGCTGCCGTTCGGAGTAAATCCACCAATTTCTGAATGCTAGGATGGTGTTCTCTGTTTTTGCAAGCATCTAGCATTCTTTGGCTAGCTCAACGGGCTGTTTTCATCTTTCCTCTCCACAGGAAAGGAGGAGAAGGCTGTGTTGACACAGCTGGCTTACGACAAGCACCAAGAGTCAGTTCTGGTTAGTAAAGGCAGGAACTGTCCAGTTGAACGGAAGGTACTTTACGGAAGTGCTGGATAAGAGGGACACGCTGAAAAGAAGTCCATGGAGATTCTCCCTCACCCAGCTCACGGCTGTCCCAAAGTTGCTTTGCCAAAAGGCCACTGGACTTTCTTGGGTTTTTATTTTCCTTGAAGACGTTTCGCTTCTCATCCAAGAAGCTTCTTCAGTTCATGGCTTCTTGAATGAGAAGCGAAACGTTTTCAAGGGGAAAAACCCAAGAAGGTCCAGTTGCCTTTTGGGAAAGCACCTTTGGGACTTCTGAAAAGAAGCCTACAGCATCCTTTTGTTCTCGCCTGCTTTCCATGTCAGACGCCCAGTTTCACAGGTGTGCAAGGGGAGGGGGGGAAGGAAGTGAAGCCCAACAGACTTGCCAACCGCCAAACAACCTGTGCCAACTTGGCCAATGGCAAGGCAGCCAGGAGCTGCTTTAGAGTGGCATTTGGGCATCTGCCGATCCCCTCCCCTTTCCGATGCCTTTATACCCTCCTCAGCTGACCCAAGGCTGGCCGACACTGGATACTCCCCTCCCAAGCAGCATCTGTATCCATTTCACTTGCAGGCTGGCCTCGGCAACTGCCAGAGCCCTGGATCTTTCCCTGCTGCGTGTTGTCCGGGCAAGGACAGGCTTTCACACTCCAGCGATCTGCCCTGGAGCGATGGCCCAGGTCTGGGGGGTGGGGGTGGGTAGAAGGGGAAACAGCTCGGCAGAGGGGTCCTCTTTGCCTCCCCCAGACCAGCCCAAGGCAAGGGGGTAATGGTAGGCAGAGGGGTAGCAGAGTTTTGGGGAGGGGTCCTGGGCTGGATAAGACAGACCAAGATCCCTGCAGCAGGACCACAAAGCCCAGGAGGGACAGGATTCCCAGTTTGCCAATGAATCCCACCCTCCCCCTCCCTTTGACAGGGGGAAGCTGGGAAAAGGCTGATAGACAGATCTGCGTCACCTTCAGGCACTGCGTGGAGGAAAACCACCTTTCAGAATCCAGGTAAGGAAGCCGGAGAGGACGTTTTAGAAGAAGAGAATTATTTAAATTCTTATCCTCCCTTTGCCTCGGGTTTTATCACATTTATGTGGATTTTTATATTTTTATATTTGCAGTTCTTATACTTGCTGTTTTATTTAATAGTTGTACGCTGCCTGGAGTAAGTTTTTGTGGTGAGATGAGAGGTTATACACATTTGATAGGTACATAAACATTGTCTGCTTAATTTGAAAATTGACCCTCATCAGTGGCAGACGTGCCATTCGCATGGCACAGAAACCTGCTTAACTGCACCTGCATCCAGAGGTTGTACAGACTCATCAGGCTCAAAGGGGTTGAGAAGTTGTAGGTCAACTTTTGTGAGATGTAAGAACAAGACCTTGTGGATCAGCCATCAAATATTCGACCTGTTCGGCTGCAGCATTTTAGCAATAGCAATCGCACTTAGATTTATATTCCACTCCACTTAGATTTAAATTCCACTCCATAGTGTTTTGCAGCCCTCTTTGGGCAGTTTACAGAGTCAGCCTGTTGCCCCTGACAATCCGGGTCCTCATTTTACCCACCTCGGAAGGATGGAAGGCTGAGTCATCCTTGAGCCGGTCAGGATCGAACTCTTGGCAGTGAGCAGAGTCAGCCTGCAATACTGCATTCTAACCACTGCAACAGCATGGCTCTTTTATGGCATCTAGCCATTGTGGTTTGTTAATCTGGGTTTGAGGATAAAGCCTTGTTTGTTCCAAGGATCAATTTGCTCCGGTTTCCCTCCCTCCTCCTTGCGTAGAGTCTTGCTCCACGTCTCAGGCTGGTGGGCTTATCCGCCACTCCAAGCTGAATTCGGAACACAACCCTGAGCCCACGCAGAACATTCGCAACATCATCAAGCAATACCAGCAACCTTTGCGAGTTTCAGAGCCCACCAGGTCAGATCTGGTCCTCCAGAGGCCTTTCCTCTCTTTTTTCCCCAAAAACTTTTATCTGGAAAAAAAGGGGATTATGGTCCATCCTAATAAAGCAAAGCTTCCATGTTTAGAGGCAGTGTATCTCTAAACATCAATGGTTAGGGAATGCTTCCAGATCATCAGTTCTTTTGAGGGAGCTTTGTTGGGGAAGGACACAACCGTTTTTGATTGATTGATTGGATTTGAAAACTTCCGTTTGCCCTGCCTGTCTTTTCAGAAAGGAAGTGGGGAAGGCCTTTGTGAAGAAAATGGATCCTCACGAAGAAGCCTTGATGATCCTGAAGAGACAGATGGCACCCACAAGGGCACCTGTGCAGCCCCTTCAGGTAGGGCCAGATGGCTGGCCTAGCAGACCCACTTCCTGGAGCCCCCCCCCAGCAGTATTGGCTTTCTTATGCACTGCTCCATGGGTCTTCTGCTGGTGGGGAAATTGAGGCACTCGAAAAGCATCTTGGCCAAAGACCCCTGAAACCTAGGGCTGGCCCTGATACCAGGTGGTTCTCTAAGAAGGCAAGGTAAACATGGGACCAGGTAACCAGGCTGAGCATCTGCAAAGGACCAGGCTGGATCCTCTTTGGGTAATGTGTGAAATGGCTTTGTTGCAGGCTACCCAAAAGCCAGCACCCAGAGAGATCATCGCGATGGTGAGACCAGTGGCTAGTGCCAAGGTAGCTGAGCCTGTTCCCGTGGCTCAGTCTGTGCCTGATGCCTCTTCAGGTGAGCAGTTATCCACTTCTCTCTGCCACCTGGATTCCTGGCCTGCAAGAACCAACTTTTTGCTTGGTGAAGTATCTCCATCTACCACACCAGCCTCCGTTTTGTTTCCCCTCCCGCACTAGCTAGGATGATTAAAGCCATGAACTTCAGCTATTGTGATGGTTACGACTGCTTTTCCCATGGCAGGCTGTGCCTTCCTGCCCCTGGGTCCTTTTCCCCTTTAGGAAGATGAGAAAGAACAGTTGAATTTTCTTCCATCCAGCTCCCATCTCGCGAGAGTTGACGTCGGAGGATGAGACGGTCCAGACGAAACTTCACTGTCGAGGCAGCGAGGAGTTTTATGGGTACCACAACGTCTCCTGGAAGATCTATCTGAGGAAAGAGGCAGGTCTTTAGGGACCCTCCCTCGGTTTTCCTCTTCTGATTGAGGCTGGGGGACAAGGGAAACATGGTCAAGCTTTATAAAACAGGGCAGAAGAAACGTCTGTTGGTTGCTTCTCATACTGGAATTCAGGGCAGTCAAAGAAAGTGCCCAACATACATCTAACATTGGAACTTATCATGGCAGAGGAAGAGGAGAAGAGGAAGAGAGGTCTACGAATGCCTAGCAGGCGTCGATAGCTAGATCAAGCCTCCATATTCTGTAGCATTTTACCTTTGAGCGGCGGACAAATATTTTAGAAAAATATTCTAGAGAATGTGCCCTGGCTAGTATAAATTGTAAATAAGATGCTGGGCTGGATAGAGCCTTTGGGTGTCCCCCCCCCCCAAATCACAATGTCCCAAAATCTTCCTCTTTCCTTGCAGGTTTTTTATCCAAAGGAGACTATCAGCAGCCCTCTTCTGCTAGATCTCCTTTTTCGGCAGGTAAGTGACCTCTGCTATTGATGCTCCCGCAAATGTTTCGTTACCCGTCTAAGGGAGTTCCTCAAGGCATGGGGCAATGTGGTTTAACCACAGTCCAAGAAAGACTGACAGCAGTTTTTTACTTCTCCGTGCACTGATAATAAAAACTGCGGAAAACCATCAAGCTCAGAGAACACTTACAGAGAAACAGTTCAGCCTGGAGCTGCTCGTATTCTCTACACTAGAAATCAAATCTTTGCTGTGAAGGCCTTTCTGAGGGTCAACCAGGACTTCTTCTCATCTTGTCTGGGTCACTTTGTAGATCTTCAACGATACTCTGTCGGATGCCTGCATTCGTCTCACCGAAGAGGAGAAGCTACACATGAAAACTCTTTTTGGTAAACACCTTTGAGAGGAAGGGAGGGTGGAAGATCTTCAGATGTTACCATGTTGGGTTAGAAAAGCATCCCAAAGCTACTAGTGGCTGCACTTACTGATGTCTCTAAGTGTCTCTATCAGCCAGCAGTATTGAACAGAGCCACGGTGGAGGAATTGTGCTCAAGAGCAGTCTACTTCTGGGTACCGGTGCCCAAAAGAGAATAATAATGTGGCTCTCCTTGTCCTTCTCGCTGAGCTCTTATTTCCAAAAATACTAGGCTGGCCATTGTGGGGGGGGGGGATTCTTCTCTCTGCAAAAAAGCGGATGCATAGTTGTGGTGGAATATAGTCTGGATTCCCAGCAGGGAGGGACAGCATTCCAGAGGACCAAGAGACAGCCAAGTTTAGAGAGTTTGTGTGAGAGAAAGAGGGTTTGCTTAAAGACAGCTCCTCCTCAATGGTTCCCAGGGTATATCTTTAATGATGCAACTATTTTGCTTTCGTTCGGCCAGATTCTGTCTCTAGGTGAGGCATAAAAAAAGGAAACTCCTTAGAAGTCACTCTGCATGTCTTTTTTGGCCTTTTGGAGACTGATGGTGCCTTCCGGTTGAACATTTAGCTTTAAATTTTAGCTTTTCAACTCATAAACTTTTAAAAGAAATCAGAATGAGACAGGAGTTGGGTGCTAGTTTTTCCCTAATCAGAAACCTTCCGAGAACACTGGTGTGGTTTCTCCCTGCAGCGGAAAACAAGCTGGACTCCTTCAGTCCAGTGGCTGACGAAAGCGTCAAGAAGGAAATTATACGTGTGGCCCGAGAGAATTGGGAGGTGTACTTCTCCCGCCTTTTTCCTGCTATGGTAAGAGAGTTTCCCCCCGGTCCACACAACCCTGAGAGGAACTTAAACCAGTCTGTGGTCAAACCAGTCAAGAGGGCTCCTCTTTCAGCACAGTAATTTTGAATGGTCACTAAACAAATGGTCTTAAGTTCAAGGGTTACCTTTATTGAAATCTCGCATTGTTATTATATTTTAAAACCAGCTCTCGTTTCAGTGGGGCGAACCCAGACTCCTTCCAGAAAGCTCTCCTTCTGGCTTGCTTAAAGCGGCAGCTTTCCTTTCCTTGGGCGCTGGGCCCAGCCTTGCCAACTTCCCTCTTCACCCCCTGCAGGGCAGCGTTGGCACTGGGGTGCAAATCTTGGCCGTGTCTGACTCGGGGATTAAACTCCTGCGACTGGTCAAAGGGACCAACCTCCCTGGAGAGCAGGTCCGGGTGTTGCGAGGCTACAGGTAAGTAAGGCCAGGGCACACCTGTCCAGAGGAGAAATAATATAATAACATGGTTGGAAGGGACCTTGGAGGTCTTCTAGACCATCCCCTTACAGTGAGCAACTAACCAAAGAACCCTTTGCCCTCTCCACATCCCGCCCACTCTCAGCTACAGTGAGCTCCTGTTTGTCACCATGCCCTCAAAGAACATGCTGGAATTCAACCTGGTCCATGAGAAGCTCATCCTCTTCTCCCCCAAAGCTGTCCAGGTAAAGGCCTTGATCGACCATTTCATCATGGAGCTCAAGAAGGTAAGACCTTGGAGGGGGGGGAGGAATTTGGTTGGGGAAGGGAGCTGCAAGGAAGGACAGGGGGAGGCCAATATCTCACAGCCCCAAATGCATTCAGAGGCCTTCCTTCTTTGCAGGGAGGAATGGCCAGCTGGACAGCTTTGCTTGGTCCGGCGTTTTGAACCGGACACTTGTGGGTCTTTTTTCTCTGATTTAGGACTCACAATATATGGTTGCCATTAAGAACCACATCACTAATGCTGAAAGCCTTCTGAGTTTTCACAAGGGAGACATCATTTGCCTGCGACCGATGGAGGGTCTGGAACCAGGTGAGAAACATAACAGGAGAAAAATAAATAAAAGGAATTGTAATGCAGCAGCAGCAGCAGCAGCAACAGAACAATAACAATAACTACAACAACAACAACAACAATAATAATATTTACACCAGAGTTAGCATTTTTTGGTCTATCCCAGGTTCTTGAGAAGGACTCAGTAGGTGGACCAAAATGCCAAATCCAGTCTAAACATCTGGCTGGCTGTGCGATCACGTTGCATGCGGATGTGCGGGGTGGAGAACGCATTGCTTTGGTTTAATCTTTGCAGACACAAGGATTAGCCAGTTTCCCGAGATGATCAGTTTCATTCACGTCTCAAATATTTCCCTTTGCTGAGTGCTGGAAAAATCCACCCCCACCACTCAGGGTTGAGCCCGCCCACCCCCCTTTTTTTCCTCAAAAGAGGCACAGGTGTCCAACAGATGCAGGCGAGCGCTTGTTGAATTAATCACCATTCAAGACGTTGAGGCATGTGTCCTCAGATGCCACCCTGTCCTTGCAGCGATATTCACGGCCCAGATGTTCCAATTCTTCTGACGTTCTTGAACATCGTTTATAAATGTGGGCCTCCTGATGAACAAAGCTCGTGTCTAATGCACGAATACCGGAGGGGGTTCTGAAGGACAGTTAGCCCGTCTCTGAATGTCAAACAGTCTTGAACTGAACCTGGGGTAACAACCAGAGCTCCCCAAGTAGCAGACAAGCATTCTTTGCTCCTTTTAACTTCACATTTGGCCGTCATCCTGGCCTTGCCATTTGCAAATGTGATGCTTTCCCAGAACCATCAGGGTGAAAAAGGAGTTGGCATGCCGAGCCATCTTGTCAGCTAACAGACCATGAAAGGACATTCCAGATTTTCCAATATGCTATTGACCCGAACACCCTCCAGCTTGGAAGGGATGCTAAATAAATGAATTCAAGAGAGCCCGTGAAGGCAGAGCATAAAGAATTAATGCAATTCTCCTCTAATGCATAAAAGGAGACCCTGGAGATGGAGGGGAAATGAAACTTTGCTGCAAAAGGAATCAATCAGAGAAGACTTTAAAAAGAAATTGAAAAACATTTTGGGAGGGGAATAATTTTAATAACAGCCCATACATACAGATGCCATGGGAAGCCATTAGTAAAGGAGCATTTATGCAGCAAAATAGTAAATTGGAAAGACAGGAGAGAAGAGAAGATACAAAAGATTTTAATGGAAATAGAGATGAAAGAGGGAGAATTAATGAGATCTCCAGGAAGGGAAACATGGTTTACAGCAGATTAAACTTTTATAACACTGTCTGTCTGCGTTCATGATAAGAGAAAATGGAAATAAAAATGACTTTTGCAAAAAGAAGGAATGCAAAGTTGAGCATCATCACCATGAATGCAAAACGGGTGGGATTGAAATTGAAACTGGATTATGATGGGCCTGAGTTGGCCACTCTGCATGGAAGCGTTCTTGGGGTCCTTCTGATGCCCCTATGCTTCTCCAACCTACAGACCACTATTATGGCTGCGTGGTGAGGAAGAAAGTGATCCTCCTGGAAGAGGTCAAAAAAGGCACCCTGGATTTTGGTGAGTGCCTTTGGTGTGGTGTGCAACACTCTGCTCTGCTCTCTTCCAGATTCTTCTTCAAACATCTTCCACCTTTCAGTTGCATGCTGGTTTTGGGTGTTTTTTTTCCTCTTGAGCAAACTCAGTCCTTGGTCGGAAATATTTAGAACTTCCTAGGTTCCAAGTAGACCTAATCAACAATGTCCTGGAGCAGGAATGGCAACTATGGCTCTTTTTATGACCTGTGGACTTCAACTCCCAGAATTCCTGAACCAGGAATTCAGGAGTTGAAGTCCACAGGTCTTAACGTTGCCAAGGTTGGACAGCCCTGTCCTAGACTGAGGAAAGGGGGGCAGAACCGATTGGACAGACCTCTCTGAAACGTCTCCCTTGGGGGAAAGTGGTTGGAAGACCATCAAGAGGGAGGAGCTATTGACTGTCCTGAGGATCTCTTATTCCCGGGATAGGTTGGAAGTTTGGTGCCATCTTTGGGAAGTCGGGACTCTTCCCCTCCAGCTGCGTCCAACCAGTGGCAGCCCCAGATTTCATGCAGCTGCCCACGGAGAAGAAGGAGGACCCCCACAACAAGCAGGCCAAGGTGGCTGGTCCAGCCTCGGTGGCCGTGGCTGTGGCATCAGCAGCTGTGGCTCAGGAGCTGGACAGGAAGGTTGAGGCAAGTCAATTGTGTCCTGTTGTTCCTTGGTTGAACGTGGTTGGTTTATGTCCTGGAACAGGACTATCCAAGTCCTGGAGCCGGTTGCTTTCATCCAAATGCCTGGCACATCAAAACAGTAATGAATGATTCAAGCTCTCTGATTGATTTGGTTTTTACTGTTTTCATCTGCAAAGCTTTGGAGAAAAAAAATGGGGAACTCATGGCTGGGGATAAAAAATACGGATTTCTTTCATTGAGTCAAAGGGGGATCCATACTTGACTAGTGGTCTCATCTCTGCAGCCCTTATAAGTGTGGGGGATTTCACCCAACATGCCCAGAGAACCCATTTCCACAATAGTGCCCTGCCAATGTATTAGTTGCATCTTTGAAGATTGGCAGAGATGCTCCACTGGAAACCGTTAAGGGTCACTTTCGCTCTCTCCTCCCCGACAGGTTTCCCCAGTGGCCGAGGAACACTTGGAGAGCTGGGAAGAATTTAAGAGCCCTCCAGGGACCAGACCCCAAGGAGGCCCCTTCACCATGCTGGAATTTGCCAAGAAGTATTTCCGAGACGGGCAGAAGACAAAGCCGTGAGTGATGGCAGAGAGGGAAATGTGTTGCAGAAATAGCAACTGAATGAAAGAAGCAGCTGAAGGGGAGAGAACGAAGCAATTCCAGGAGGCCACCATCTCCCACGTTATATCTTGGAATACCCCATATTTATGAAACCCCTGATACTGTTTGGGGGGCCCAGGAAGGTCCCAGATGAAAGTCAATAGAAGAAGCGGGCAAGGTGAGAGATAGAGAGGACCAGAAATCAGTTTTGATCCCAGGAGCGTACTGATATAACAGATATCTGAAGTTTTTCACCAGGGCACAAGAAAAGGGATTTTTATTTATGTCGGGTCAAAGCTTTGATGATGGGCATCCTACAGTTGGAATCCTCTCTGACTCCCAACACACACAGCATTCCTATTTTATTTTTTTTATTGACTTTATGATTTCAGGGAGAAGCAGAAACCGAAGAAGGGTGTCGAATCTACGACTGTGGTGGATATTCTGAAATACACCAAGGTAACCATGATGGTTTCCTTCAGGGAAACTTCACTTATTTGCACGTGTGGCTTCCTCCAACGAGTGTGATTCCCATACTCAGCTGATCATCTCACTTTTTTTTTTTCCTACCTGGCTTTCCAGTGTCCCATCCAGGAGTCACTCATTGGATTCACCAACAGCAGCCTGAACAAAATAGCAGCAGAATCCTTCCAGGGTGAGTCCCTCTCTCGTAACCAGGTGCCTGCCCCTCCTAGGACAACATCGGCACCCTGCACCATGAATTCAGACTGACGAAAGATAGGGGAAGAGCTTTGAGGCCAGAGTTTTGTGGCCGTTGGGTTTCAGTAAAAGTGTACCGTTTCTTTTTCTCTTGTCAGCTGCCCAAAGTCAGTTCTACAAGCTTGGCAGCCGAGACTGATTGGCTTATGATAGCAGCATGAGCTATCCAAGTCCTGGAACCGGTTGCTTTCGTCCAAATGCCTTGCACGTCGAAACAGTAATGAGTGATTCAAGCTCTATTTGGTTGTGGTTATTGTTTTCATCTGCAAAGCTTTGGAGGAAAAAAAAAACCTGGTTCCAGCACTGTTCCAGAGATCAGCAGTCTTGGAAAAATCTCCCATCTCTTCTCCAGTACATCCAGGCTTGGAGAAGTCAGCCAACGCTCCGCGACTGCTTTCCTGCTGAGTGGATTTCTGGTGTAAATTAGGAAAATGAGCTCATTCTGCAACTATTGTAAAGCTGCACAATCTCCATTAATGTTCCTCCATAATGCCAGTCACGCAGCAGGATGGGCAGACAACAATGGGCTGGTTCACTCACGCCAAGTCAAAACAATAAGCTGGATTATGATGATATATGAACCCAACCAAGGCATGGGTGGTTGAAGAGACAATCCCCAATTGACGGGTGTGGGTGTGTTTCTTTTGTGTCCCCCCCAGCTGTGATGAAGTTCATGGGTGACCTTCCACTCAAAGGACAGTCTGAGCTGGATGTGGTCTATGCCTTGTTGAAGGTAATCTGCTTTCCAGCGTTGGCTTGTATCAAACCTTGTGGAGCAGGTGATGGATGCTCCAGGTGTGCTTTTTTCAGTTGAGGGGGTGCCGTTGAAAGGTGAAGTCTAGCTGTAAATCTTCAGAGTTTTCTGAATCCTGATATTTTGCTGCCAAATTTTTGTAGTTTTCTGTTTTGGGGGGTTTGGGATCCTGCAAAAATGGGAGTCAGGGAGCTCAGTGTCAACCAAGGATAGTCCATCCCTTCTGTAGAGGAGGGAGGCGAGGGGGCCCTCGCTGGCCAAGCCTTTCCAGGTGAGAAGGTCTTTGGGGAAATCAGTGGATGATCAATTATGGAGAGAGAGGGAGAGAGAGAGAGAGAGAGAGAGAGAGAGAGAGAGAGAGAGAGAGAGAGAGAGAGAGAGAGAGAGAGAGAGAAAATAGATTCCTTCCTCCCATGCTCTCTTCCTGCTTCTTCTCCAGCTCTGTGGTGACCACGAGGTCATCCGGGATGAAGTTTTTTGCCAGATCCTCAAACAGATCACAGACAACATCAGCAGCAAGACGTAAGACAATCCTTTAATCTTTCATGACTTTCAGCTTTCAGTACTCCAGTGTTCCCCTCCCTAGAGTTCTCCAGGTGAGTTGTATTTCAACTCTCCTAGCTGCCAGGCCTGGTGGCTCAGGAATATGGGAGTTGGAGTAGCACTTATCCCATGTTGGAGCAAGCTGCGGTAGATAATAGTAAAGTGTGGATGTACCTTCTTCATATAACTCACCTTTAGTCCTTGGACGGTCAAGGGACAGAGAAGAATACTTCTCAGCCCAAAGGAGTTAGGAGATAGAGCTGTTTCGGGGAAAGCTTCCCCAGTTGGGGTTTCTCAGGGGGAGGAAGGAGACCCCTTCTTCGCTCTGATGGAAGGCAGAAATGCAGCCTCCTAATGTTCCAAGCCAGTGCTGGTGCCAGGGAGCCCTTGTGTTAACTCTGCGGTCCCAAGAGAGACCAGGAGAACCGCTGCCTGAGTCAGTCCTGCTCCTACCTCCAGCTCTGAGTAGATCCTCCCCAAGACCCAGCTGAACTTTCACATTGGCGCCTTTGACCTAGGGACAGCTGCCCCAAAGGATGGCGGCTTCTGTACATCCTGAGTGCCTACTATAGATGCTCCGAGGTCTTCAAGCCCTATCTTCTCCAGTTCCTCCAGGAGGTCTCTGCCTGCCCTGGTTTGCGTTTCCAAGGTGAGCTGCTGGAACTTTCCACAAAAAGACACACGAGGTGGCCCAACCTTATTTCAACTCGGACCTGCCCTAGCCTGCATTAATGGAGGGATAGAATCCAGATCACGTGCAGTGTTAATACCACTTTATAAGGTCTTGGTAGGACCATATTTGGAATACGGCATCCAATTTTGGTCACCACAATATAAAAAAGATGTTGAGACTTTAGAAGGCATGCAGAGAAGAGCATGGTGATTAGAGGGACTGGAGGCTAAAACATATGAAGAACAGTTGCTGGAATTGGGTATGTCTAGTTTAATGAAAAGAAGGACGAGGGGTGGCATGATAGCAGTCTTCCAGTATTTGAGGGGCTGCCACCAAGAAGAAGGGAGGCCAGCCTCTTCTCCAAAGCACCTGAAGGGAGGACAAGAAGCAACGGATGGAAACTCATCAAGGAAAGAAGCAGGCTGGAACTAAGGAGAAATTTCCTGACTGTTAGAATAATTAACCAGTGGAACAACCTGCGTCCAGAAGTTGTAGGTGCTTCAACACTGGAAGCTTTCGAGAAGAGACTGGACAACCATTTGATACAGGGTTTCCTGCTTGAGCAGGGGGTTGGACTAGAAGACCTCCAAGGTCCCATCCAACTCTGTTATTTTATTAATCCATTTTGGGTATGGTGCAAGTAGATGACCCTATCGGGATGGCAGATCAGCAAGCTAGGGGTTTCAGTGTAGCTTCACATTTGTACCTTGAGACCCATATCCACTGATTTACGCATATCTTCACCTTTTAACTTTTTAAAAATGTGAAAAACAGCTGCAAATGATAATAGGGAATGTATTGAGGAGATCGGGGGGGGGGGGCGGTGTTGTCCCCTGGCCCTCTGTACAGCCAATTCTCCAATGTCCAGTTTCAAAGGATCAAACAGGAGTCTTGTAGGGTTGGGTTTTGTCATTTGTAATGATTCCTCCCTGGGGTTATTAAAAAAAAAAAAACCGAAACATATTTGCATTAACAATATTGGAAGTCTCTCCTTTCGTCCACATAAAACATTGCCCTCCTGGGGGATGTAAAGTGAATTAAATGCTTCAATTCCTAGGACAAAGCAGGTGTAAAAATCTAGCTGTTAGAAGAAGAAAACTGACAGGGCTTAAGCCAAAATTCATCAATCAAATACTCTTGCTCTCCAATCGCTAAAACGTGGAAATGAATCCATCTGCTCTGCCTACTGCTGGAAGAAAGCCTGTTGGGTCACATTGCCGCCCAGGGTTATTTTCTCATTAAACTCTCTCCAGTGGGATAGAGGTGATTGGCAAAGATGGATCATCCCTAGCCTGACTTCCAGCTGGGCGATGATTTCGGCTCATCAGCACCTCTTCTCGGTTGGAGAGCAATGTTGCTGCTATAGGAGAAAATCTGGAACTGGGGAGGTCTCAACCAGGAAGGTTAGCAGATGAATTCAGCAGGAAGATTGCCACCCACCCGGTCCTGCTTTTCAGGGCTCAGTAGCCTGCCCCCGTCTAAGTTCAGCAGAGGATAGCAAACGTGGGCAGACAGGTCCACCCAACTTGGAGTGAGAAGACTTAATCCCGAGAGTGGGATTCCTCCATGGGCAATTGAGAACGTTCCACCTCTTCTTCGGGGTGTTTACCTCTCTGCTTCTCTTCCTCACCCTCCAACAGGCATCGCCAAGGCCTGCGAGCAGAATTTGCAGAAGACTTTCAAGTTTGGGGGCCGCTGTGAGTTTCCTAGTGCTGTGGAGCTCCAAGCCTTGGTGGTGAGTCTTTGATCAGAGAGGAAGGAAGGAAGGAAGGAAGGAAGGAAGGAAGGAAGGAAGGAAGGAAGGAAGGAAGGAAGGAAGGAAGGAAGGAAGGAAGGAAGGAAGGAAGGAAGGAAGGAATCTCATCAACTGGGAAGGGGTCACCTAGAGAGGAATGATGGCTTTGCTGCAGGCTGAAAGAGATGGGCAAGTAAGGTGCCTCCACAGCACCCACTTCCCCTGTTTATGTCCCTAATAATTTTGCTTTCCACCATGCTGTTCCTTCTCCTCCTCTTCCAAAGGCTGGAAGAAGTTCAAAGCGTCAGCTATTTCTCCTTCCAGGAGGGATCGAAAGGCACCTCAAAATCAAGACTTGCTCGGTGAGTGCCAAGGAACAGCCTCCCTTCCCTGATCCCGGCTGATCTAATGGAACCAGCAAATAAAGGGGGAATGTTCCTAAACTAAACTCCAAAGGTCTCAGGTGCCAAAAACGCACTGGTCAGCCCAACGTTCTCATTCTGTGAAATCTTGCAGAACATCTATCTTTTCCCTTGGTCTGTATGAGTTTGTTTCCAGAGCTTACTCCAGGAAATCATACGTATCTTTTCAGGAAGTAAACTCTGTTCCACTCAAAACTTGTTATGCTCAAAATGCGCTTTCAGTACCAAAATGGGCTGAGTCCACTCTGTTACTCTTCCGAAAGGCAGATCCTACGCCACCTTTTCCCACAAAGTCAGTTTCACAACATTTGTTCCCTCTCTTTTTTCGACATTTCTTCTTACAGCCTCCTCTCCCAATACATAGACTGAACCTTCATTCGTCTGGCAGAAAAGCTGGGCGTAGTTCCGAAATTTGCACCTTCCACAGCTTGACCTGTTGCTAGGCCTTTGCAGTTCTCCTTGGTGCCAGTTCTTCTCCATTCCTTTTTTTAGGTGGCCCAGGATGTCATAGAAGAGATATGCTTCGAAATGGGTCTGCACCAGCCTGAAGCCTTCAGAGAATACATCATTTTTGCTGTCTCTAATAAAAGTGAGCTGATGAGGCTGGGAGGGAGATAATTTCCCTTATCCAGGCATTCAAAAATAATCACCTTCCTTTCTGTGGGCTGCATTGTTCAGATGTCCAGCTGCATCCAGGCTACAAAGCCATCCAGCATCTCATAATTACTTGCAAGTTTTTTTTACTCCCCTAATACTGGGGGTGGGGTGGGTGGAGGAAGGGGGGGTTGCATGCTTCTCCATCCCAAAAGATGCTCCACCTGTATCTATGTATATTTCCCAGGAAAATCGATAAAAATGGTTAATGTGATGGTTAAACCAGTGTAAAACCAACAGGTGATGAGCCCAGATTCTCATTCTTGGTTGGGTGCCACAGAGTCCATTCCTTGGCATTATTGATGAATTTTTGCCCATTTGTGTAATCCACCTTATCATCCATACCTGGGGACCCCAATGATTTAAAGCCAAGGGATGCAGCTCCCTTTCTCTTGGTCTTGTGTGTGGAGTTGCAGAGGACCAGCTGGCCCATCCATCGGCAAAGGGGAGCTTCTTATTTTGGGCCACCCACTTGTGTACTGACTGACTGACTCTCTCCACTTCCACATCCCAGATCAGAATGTCCGACCTTTGGACCGGCGGGAGTACATCCTTGATGTCACCATGGAAATGGAGAACGTGGACAGCAGCTACATGTTCTGGTACCGGCGTGTGATTTGGGCCCAGCCTCTGAAATTCGACAATGAACTCTACGTCACCATGCATTACAACCAGGTGAAATCCTTTAAGGAAATGTTGAGAGGAAAAATGCAAGATTTGGCTCTGTTTGGGGAAGATCCGAGCACCCTTTCTTAACTTAACCTGGTTTCATTAGTTAAACTATACTACCCACGTTGAAATGCAGTAAAATACCAAAACATCCTACTAATACAATACAATAATGCAAAGCCAAAGGGCATCAAAAGACTTTAAAAGACATTGAGCAGCTTGCACTGCAGAACACAGCCTCATTTCCAAGTGGGTCAAGCTTCACCTTTTGTCACCCCCACGGAACTCACCGGGAGAGTCTCAGATTGAGTTGGAGCTGCTTCCTGGCAGTTAGGACGTCACTGGTGTCTCTCTCTCTCACACAGGTGCTACCTGACTATCTGAAAGGTCTCTTCAACATCTTGTCTTCTGCAAAACCGAGTGATCAACAGTTCCAGCAAATCTCCAAACTGGCTGCTTTGCAGCTCTGGGTGAAGGGCCTGGCAATTTTGTAGGTGCCTTTGGAATATGGTGGTGTTTGGACAAGGCTAATGCCGTAGGCAAGAGGGAGGCTGACTCCTGGGAGTCAAGGCTGAGCGGGCAGAGGCCGGGTGGGATGGTCACCACTTTCTGGGTGTGAGGCTGTAGCCCTCTATCTCCTTGGCTTGGAAGAGGAGCCTTGGTGGAGAACTTCCCTTTAGGTCCTCATGCCCGTTTCCTCAGCTGTCTGTGACTTCTCACCTAGTCCTTCTGCTTCTCCTCCAAGAAGGGAAATTCAGGATTACATCCCACCCCAGCTCTACCATCTGCAGAAGGCTCAGGCGTGGCTGGACATGGTGGCCCCCTTCATGCACCAAGCACAGGCCTTGAGCGCCCACCAGGCTCGGGCCCAATTCTTAGGTAAGGCCTTTTCCATCCAAAGGACCAGGGAGGGAGGTCAGAGCAGCCAAGCTCCTGGGATTAAGCTGCAAAGATGCCGGTTGGCCGAAAGAAATGCCTGCTGTGTAACTCAGCCCGTATTTCTTGTTTCAAGAGTGGATCCTCTGGCAGTTGCATAATAAACACACAAGTAGGGTTGGATGAGGGTCAGGTGAGAAAGAACCCCCGCTCAACTCTTGTGATTGTTTTGGAAAGCAGTGACCAGAGGCTTCCAGGAGGCGACTTATGGAAGACATAATTATCTTCTGCGAGGAACATCAAAAACATGAGTGTGACGTTCACTCACGAAGAAATTCTTGACGTCTTATTCATGATTTAAGGCAGGGATAACCAACCTTGGCCACTTGAAGTCTTGTGGATTTCAACTCCCAGCCATCAAGTCCACAAGTCTTCGAGTGGCCAAGATTGGACATTCCTGATTTAAGAGATGCAATCATCTAGCAGTTTTAATTTCTTCTAAATGAGTAACCCTCACATCACTGAGTTGTGAATTCCCCAGGCTTGCAGGGAAGAGCTCTCCACAACCACCTTCTTCTGGGGTCCTGTTCTTGTTCTTCATGTACAAGGAGCTGTGTGACCTCCTGTTTCAGGTCCCCTTCTTTGAACTGATGGCTGGCCTCCATCCATTGCAGGGCTCCTGAGCGCCTTCCCCATGTTTGGGTCCTCGTTCTTCTACATCCAGAGTTGCAGCAGCAACACCATCATTTCGCCCTGTATCCTGGCTGTGAATCAGAATGGGCTGAATTTTCTCCACAAGGAAACTCACGTGGGTGTTGCGTGTTTGTTCCTTTGACCTCTCAAGAGGATTTCTTCTGCTCAGATCGCTTGCTTGCTTTCTGCTAAGGAAAGGAAGCTTGGATTTCATGCCACTCCTGGGGGAAACCCTGCAAGTGATTTGCCAACAGATGATCCCACAGGATAATAAAAATGATGGATTCTTCACTGCAAAATATACGGGATCTCTTCTGCAGCATCAGAACAAAGCTCCCATTGAAACAAGCCAGGAACAAAATTGACCATTACTACATTAGAATGTGCAAGTAGACAAGCACACACGCCCAGTCACATTCACACGGTGCATGTACTAAAAAGGAAGAAAGAATAGAGAGAGGAGGAGTCCTCCAGGATCAACCGGGTAGAAGGAATTTGGAGATTCCAAAGAGCTGTTTTGTGTTAGACCCTCTGCAGGAATGTTCTTGACTTCATGCAAGACCTGAATGAGATGGACATGAATGTCAATTGGCTGCATCCAGGATGTGTGGGGTCAAACACCAGCTCGGGGCCTGGACTTCTCTGGTTCTTAGCCACGGGGGTCAGGGAGGGTCTGGGGAGACAGAAATGACCTTGTGGTTTAGCTTACTCGCTCTTCTTCTAAAAGTTTTCTCCTCTGCTGTTCTAGGAACCCATCGTGACATTCTCTCTGAAGGAGATCCACTCTACTCGCACCCAGAGACCTTCGGCCGGATCCAGCTACCCCTACGTGGAGATTATGCTGGGAGACTTGATGTCTCACAGGATCACACAGCTGCAGCTGAAACAGGTATAGCAGAGGAAACGCAGGTCCCAGAACAGGCCCGCAATTTCTCCACTGCAGGACTTGGTCAAGGAGGTGGTTTATGGATTTGAGGCTGTCATTCAAATTAAAAAAAAAAAGTTAAAGAATTGCTTCTCAGGGAAATTGTTGAGGAAACTAGAGAGGTTTTCTTAAGACTTAAGCTGGTTTTTGTGCACAGCCCCGTAAATGTGTAGTGAAAATTTTGGGTGCTCTTTCTCAGACAAAGCAGTTGTCAGGTTTTAAGCCAAGCACAAAAGAAAACAAAAAAGTCTGACGACAAGTAAAATAACTAAATAAAAGAATAAGATGAGAACGATGCAAACCATTATTTAAATCGATCCCTAGATTTGATTTGATTTTTCAGGCAGAATTCTTGTTTTTTTTTTTTTTTGTTTGTTTTAATTTAGACTTCCTGATTGTTAAGAATACAGCAGGTCTGGCGGGGGTTTTCAGAATATTGGCTCCATGATATGTTAAAGATGTATTTTGACTTTGTTGGAAATATGTTGAAACTCTGTGAAGTAAGCTTAACTCCTTTCCTTCCTTTCTCTTTCTGTCTCTTTCTGTCTCCTTACCTGTCTCCTTCCATTGGCTTTGTGAAGCTTAACCTTCAGATGGTAGGTGTTTTCCTCATAATAATACTGATAAGGTATTGGGCTGCAACTTTTGAAGTGTTCCAGATGTCTCACCTGTTTATTTTGTTGTCCTGACCCCCACATCTGCCAAGTAGGGCAAAATGGCTGTCCAGGTTTTATCGGAGGGGTAGGGCAGGCGGGTGTTGATCTAGGATCCGTGAGCTTAGCATGGGGGACAGCATCAGAAGTGCTGAAACTCTTGAGCGAGTTGAATAGGCTGACCCACCATGGCAGATCATGCAGCTTGTAAAGCTCTGAATAAACCCTTGAGAGGCAGGTTCTGACATCTGTTGTGTCCTCTTTCTCCCCACAGGGCCTGGAACTGTGTCGTGTCATTGCCACCCACATGGAGAGCCTGCTGCACGCACGTGAAAAGCAGCTGACGCTGCCCCCAAGTGAGATTACTTTGTTGTGACTGGATCTGCTGTTCTGCGTCTCTCTCTTCCAGATTCCAGAACAGATCCCGGCGCAACTGGAAGATATATCTGAGCTGTAAACAGCTCATCCTGTAGGTTTCAATGACATCCCCCTTGTCATCTCCAGATTTAGGGGTGGGAAGGCATGGATGTGAGCAAGGAGACATCAGGGCATTTCATCCTGCTGGTTTTCCCAGCTCCCTTCAGATGCTGTATTGGAACAGGGATCATCTAACTTAGGGGCAATTCCAAATGACTCTTGGCAGCATCTTGTATATTTTTCATGTGGACTAGAAGCATCTTCTGATGTTTCATACAGACTATTCTATATTAACCAATTTACTTGGCCAGCAAAATGTCAGCCACACAACACATTCTCTTTTGGGTGTAAATTGGTGTTTATGGCCAAAGCGGGAAATTATTTTGCTGGTAGCAGGCCAAGATTTCCTTGGCTCAATATTCCGTTTCCAACAGCTGATGGCCAGATGTTATATAGAGATGTCTGAGCAAAACATGATGGTGATTCAGACTAAATATATGTATAAAAAAGTTTTTAGGATTTTTTTAAATAATTATTATTCTCCTGCTTCACGGTATGTCTCCCCAAACTGTAGCTCTTTATTTATTTGTTAATAAAAGCTGTTGATCCATCTTTAGAAATGACATTCTGTTTCATATTAAGGTAAGATATGGCAGCTGTACAAAATAGCGGCTTTGGAAATAGCACATCAGGTTGTGAAGAGAGACTCAGGTTGTCCTCAGCTTACGACCACCTGTTTAATGACCGTTCAAAAGTATGACAGCATTAGTGTTCATGCTCTGCACCTGTATGGATGGGGTTTCCCATTTCCATCTTCTGCTTTTGCACAGTCGCCGGTGCCGTTGGGATTTCCTGGTGGCCTCCCATCCATGGAAGTCTTTGCTCTGCAGAACTGCAAGCGGGGCTCACACGGGCAGCACTTTGGCCGCCCCTTCAGTGGTGCTTCTCAGCTTGCTCTGTGTGCACAGCCAGGAGGCCCTCACTGCCAAGAGAGGCGAGGTTTTTTAAAATTTTATTTGATTTAGGTGCTGCCCGTCTCCTTTAGAGGGGACCCTGGGCAGCTTTTGCTCTCTGCACTGCCAACCAGGCCCTTTTGGGGCTGCAAGCATGCTCCCAAAGGGCTGGCTGGGGATGATGGGACTGGATCCCTGGTTGGAAGTATCTGGAAAAGAAATTTCCCATAACGCTTCGCGGTTGCCAGAGTCTCCTCCGCAAGGCATCATGGGAGGCGTTGCAAAACGGCACCAACTCCTTCGCTGGCAGTCACTTTGGCCGGTTCTCCGCGCGCGGATTTCATTTCGGCCAATCAGCGAGCAGTCTTTTCAGGTAGTTCTGCCTGGCAGGGAAAGCGTAGCCAATCGGCTCCAAGGTGGCCACGCCCCCCACCGTTACGCGAGTCTCCCAATTTAAGATTTCGTCAGGCTCCTTCACGTTGCCTGGCGAGCGGCTGCGTGCTTTGTGCGCCTGCGCTCTTCCCCGGCTGAGCATGCGGAGTGGGGCTCCTTCAAGGCCCCTCCAGCCGCTCTTTCACTGATTTGATTTAAGGCCACCGCAGGGAGATACCCGTTGCATAACGTTCACCGAGGGGCGCTTTGCAAGCATCCGGAAACGCCTTCCTTGATTTGCATTTTCTTCCGAAGAAAAAGACGGGGGAGGGGCAAACAGAGTATCCCGAAGGAACATTCTGATGCTGAACCTCTCCCGCGTGCCGCTCTACCCCGCCGCTCGTTGGTGACGAGCGCCGCATGCGCAGAGCCCGCCCGGCCAGGAGCCCGCTTCCTTTCGGAGTGCGGCCGGGGCGGGGCTTGGCCACGGCTGCGCAGTGACGCGCGCCGGCGCCTGCGCCTGCGCGGGAGGCGCGGCTTGCGCTCTGAGGAGAAGGAGGAGGAGGAGGCGGAGGATGCCCTGAAGTTATTTATAATGTCGGGCCGGCCGCGGGTGACGTAGCGCGCCGTCCGGGCAGCCGGAGCAGCAACAGCGGCGGCCGCCTCGTCTCCTCGTTCGCCATGAAGGCAGCCGGGCCGGCGCTGCGGCGGGGGACGGACTCGGGCGACGCGTGGTGAGGGCGGGCGAGCCGGTCGGAGCGCGGTGAGTCCGGCCGAGCAGGGCCTCGGCGCCCTTCCTGCCCTCCCCCCCCGCCCGGGGGGCCCCTGCTGGGGGCGACTGCCCCGGTGGCCCTGCCGGGGGTCGCGGCCTGAGCCGCCCCCGGGGTGGAGGGCGCCCCCGCGATCCCTCCTGACCACGTGACAGGCGGAGGGGGGGAGCCTTGGGGACCCCACCAGGAGCAGCCCCCTCCCCTTTTTGGGGGGGCTGGTGAGCAGCAGGAGGCAGAATCTGGGGGGGCAGACGTGGAGGGGTCTGCAGAGGAGGAGCTGCCCCCCCTTTGGTGGGCAGAGGGCGGGGGAGGGGCGGCAGGAGCCGTCTGAGTCACTTTGCCCGTCCTTCCCGTCGGGGAATCCGCGTGGCCGGCGGGGGTGCCGCGCTCCGTGCCCGACTGGAAAGGGGTAGCGGCACAAGGGGGTCCCTGCGGGGCGGGGGGAGACCGGCTGCTTGGCTTGCCTCGGTCAGTAAGCAACGGGAAGGGGCCTGGGGTCTTCCCCCTTCCGCTCAGCGCTTCCTAAGGTTTCTCATCCACGTGGGACCTTAGAGGCGAAGGGGGGCTCCTTTGCCCCTTGCCCGAGGAAAGGCTGGCCGGAGGGGTTCCCAGGGGGGACAAAGTGGCGCACAAGGACTTTTTCTCGGCATCCTGACCGTCTTGTGTAACTTTTTTCTCCCTGCAGGTGAGATCTCCGAGGTCTTGGCACACGTTGGGGAAATAAAATTGGTGGCTGCAGGTGGAAATGCTGGGCTCGGCGCCCGACTCCTTTCAGGGCTTGGGCTGGAACTGAACACGTAGCTTTCTCTCGACTCTGGGGGAAACTCTTGGAAGTGGGGGGCATCCTTCCCATCCGGAAGGGCCCTCGATTGGGTGGAAGCCAAGCTGTAGGCCTTTGGCTTTCCTTTCTCCCAGGGATCGTTCTGCAACGCCAGACCATGCCGTGAACGTTAGCGGGCCATCCCACTCACCAGCCCTTCAAACTGCACCTCAGGGAATTTAGCCGAGGGCAGCGGTGACCAGGGGACTGGCCATGGCTGGGAGTGGATATACGGACCTACGAGAGAAACTCAAATCGATGATGCCTTACCGAGACAACTACAAGAGCAGCAGCAGAAGCAAGAGCAGGCGGGATCCTGCTGAAGCCCCCTATGGAGCTGGGGGGGGAGCTCCCGAACGCAAGCGCAAGCACCACGACTCCGACTCCGAGCCCACCGACTCCGAGGAACCCTCACGGGAGGAGGAAGAGGAAGAGGAGGCCCGGAAGGTCAAAAGCGGCATCCGGCAGCTGCGCTTGTTCAGCCCCGAGGAATGCGTCAAAATTGAAGCGCGCATTGATGATGTGGTCTCCCGGGCCGAGAAGGGCCTCTATAAAGAGCACACGGTGGATAGGGCCCCACTCCGGAATAAGTACTTCTTTGGGGAGGGCTACACCTATGGGTCTCAGTTGCAAAGGCGAGGCCCCGGGCAGGAGCGACTGTACCCACGGGGGGAAGTGGATACCATTCCTGAGTGGGTTCATGACCTTGTCATCCGTAAGCTGGTGGAACACCGGGTCATCCCCGAGGGCTTTGTGAACAGTGCGGTGATCAATGATTACCAGCCAGGGGGCTGCATCGTCTCCCACGTGGACCCCATCCACATCTTCGAGAGGCCAATTGTGTCGGTGTCCTTCTTCAGTGACTCAGCACTTTGCTTCGGCTGCAAGTTCCAGTTCAAGCCCATCCGGGTCTCCGAGCCGGTCTTCTTCCTGCCCGTGCGAAGGGGGAGTGTCACTGTACTCAGGTAAGGAGAGGCCACCCAGCAGGCTCCCCTGAGCTTGGACTGTGCCTCGGCTCCCTGCCCGGTGACTCGGTTTGCTGCGTTTGCAGTGCTCGAGGTTGTCTGAACCCTTTTCATCTTTATAAGAGCCATTTTTCCTCTCTGCGGTGCGGGGAGGGGCAGCCTGAAGGAGTAGTGGTTGGCTGCCATATTGGCTGTAGAGATTCCTTGATGAGCCACAAAGGACTTGGTTGGTTCAGTCTGCCTTGATGTAAGCGGTTCTCGTTTATTGAAAGGCTGATTTTCAAGCTGTCTTCTGGGAACTTTCAGAGTCTTCTAAGTGAGGCTTAGTTCTCAAGCTCTGTAGCGATGAACAAGCATCACTTTTAGTCCCCTCACTAGTATGCTGTTGGGCACATAGAAGTCGTTTCACAGCACAGACCCAGATTTGTGTAAGCTAAGACCAAAGCCTGGTTGATGAGATGAACCAAGTGTGCCATTTAGATTGGCAGGACGTTTGAGTTCCAGACTTGGTATGGAGTGACTTCACAGAGAGCAGGCCGAGAACTGTAGAAGCCGAAGGAGGCTTCGCGTGAGCAGCATATGCGGCATAACCGTAGAATGCAGTTCATTTTAAGATAAGTGCAGAGCTGTGTGTTCAGAGGAAGAATAGTTAGAAGAAAGAGCAGTGTGGGGAGAAAACCCCAGAAGATCATCCTGTAGACATCAGGAATCAAGGCAGAAGAAGGGACATTCTTCCCTACTGCACACACCCTCTGCAAAGGGTTGTGTGCATTCGCGCCTCTGCCGGAAATGTTTCGGCTGCCAGGGTGCCCCATCCAGCTGAATCCGAGCCTAATGACTTATTTGCATTCAGAATGCGAATTGGAGGACGACATGACTGTGATCAGTTCCCTACGGCAGCATTTTTAAAAACAAAACACAACCTCTGCAGTGCACAGTAAGGCAACGGCTGCCATAATTGGAAGCAAATGAAGGCTGGCAGGCTAGGCGTGAGGGTCTGTTCCAGTGAATGGTTAACCTCTGGCTTTGACCCATTGGAAGGGCAGGCTGAGGGACTTGCCTACCAGGCTCATCAAGGAGGGCCGAGACGTGTCCTTTCCTATCAGGTGGATTTTGCAGAAGCGCTTAGTTCTCTAAAACACAGCTGCTTTTTTTTTTTTCTGGAGGAATGTGTGATCATTCAGCCGTCCTATCCAGAGCAGTTTCTGCTAAAGCTGTAAAGCTGCAACTGGAACTTGGCAAGCATTGGCTCTTATTTTTTTTCCCCTGTACATCCCACCACTTTTAACGTCTGATTCTGTTTCTGTAAAACCGAGGAGGGAAGACAATCCTGGATAATAAAGAGATAGTATTGCCTGTGACAATTAGCGCCTCGTGAAGATGCTGCTTCTTCTTCTTCACCAGCGCTAAGTGTGAAAGAGTGCAAAATGCTGGGTCAGGACAAACTCGTGACAAACTGTATTTATAGGCTTGTAAGCCAGAACCAGTTTTCTGCCAGGATGAGTCAAGCCTCCCTAATGGTTTTGTGTTGCCATGGTAAATGGAGGGCAACCAATATTTGGGGGGCCTGAGGAGTGAAAACTTCTCACCCTTGGAAGTGGTCCTTCAGGGGTAAGGTGATCCCCTGCTTGCCTTGGTAAGCTGATCTCCACAGTCTGGGAGGAAAGTCTCTCCGTAGCATAAGCACGGAGGTCTTGCACAACAGCCCAGGTGCATCAATAATGAAGCAAAAACCAAGAGTTATTTCCAGGGTGTCTTGCACATATTAACTAAAGTTCCTGCAGGAGACAAAGTAGCCTCGGCTGTCAGGAAGAGGCCAAGCCTCCGCAGGGAAAAATTAACTGTAGCAAAGGAGTTTTAGGCAGGGTAATAGCTGGGAATATACCTACATAGCTTATTTGCGCCTGTAGCAAAAAAAAGTATTCTTGTTTAGCTGGCCAATTTGGTAATTGAACTCTCTAGAAGGAAGTTTCTAATTCACCTGTTTATATCTGCATGGGACAGCCAACATCCCCCCCAAATACCAGGGGGATCCTTATCAGCACAGATAGCTGAGCAAGTGTTATTTTCACAGCTTTTGCGTTCTGTCTAAGAGTTGCTTCTGTGGGGTGGCAGGTGTGTCTGTATTTGGACCTTTTTGTGGTTAATTTTGGCTGGGGAAACCCGTAGCTCTGGCTTTTCTAATCTCTTTCCTGTGTCAAGCTGGGCCTTATTTATGAAAAGATGGATGCTTCTTTTTGCCAGTTTCAAAGCCCATCTGTGTTTCTTATTGCCCATATTGGGAGAAAAAAGGGTTCTAACCAAATGGGGAGACCTTTGGAGAGCAGATTTATAAAATCACCTGTATGGAGAGGTTGCTTGACTGTTCAAGATAACCTTTGTTTCCTCTGCCAGTTTTCCAAGGCAACCAGTAGGTTTTTTTTCCTAGGAGCAGAAACCTTGTACGGTTACAATAGGGCCAAGGGCACCGTGCAGTGCCTTGACATTCATTTCCTGGCAGGCTGGTTTCCAAGGTAAGGGGCAGACATCTATCCATTAAATGCCCTTTAAACAAGGAATTTACTTCAGTCTGTGGGCTGTAGCTGCATCGTTCTCATGCGGTCCCTTAAAGGCCTCCTGCCTTTAAAGTTGCAAGTTTTGCAGGTTCAATAAGGGGACCGCTCCCATTTCTTTCAGGCTTTCTTGAAGCTACCAGAGGGGTCTTCAAATTCAGCCAGTGAGCCGGATCTGAACCTTCGGCCAAAGAAGTAGCAGCTTCTGAATAGAGCTGCCTTGAGGAGCTGTAGAGAGGAGGCTAGGTAGGCAGGGACAGGTTCTTAATCCTGTTTTAATGAGAGGCTTCCTGGCAAGGTAGCATTCAACAGAAATTACGAGAAGCCGTCTGTATTCTTTTTACATAACTTCCAGTGGATGGAGTGTTGATCTCCATTGGGTTCCCACGGTTTCTAGTGTTCAGTACCGCAGCTTCTTCAAACCCGTCTCCTGGTTCTTCGGCATGCGACTTCTAGGCTCTGCTTTCTAATATTTACAGCTGCGAGCTTGTTACTGCATTTCTGTGGCTTGCCGTAGGAGAGGACAAGGGTTCCACAACGACACCTAGCCTTTGCAACTGATCAACCAAGTTGGAATGTTTTCTTTCTCTTAATAGGTAGCCAAGAATTTTTGCATTAAGGACAAATTGGAACAGTTCAGTTTCTATCCGGTTCTGGACAAAGCTTGATTGTGGACGCCGAGTGGACCTGATGAAATTATTGAGAACATCACCATATGGTGACACTGTTAGAATAGCTGAGATCATTCATACTGGAAGACAATGTATTTGACATGTGTTTCCACTGCAGGCCAAAGTTGGATTAATAGCCATGACAGTTCCAGTGGATCTTAGTAACAGAAGTAGAGTCTTAACCATACTGGCCTTAACTACAGCTTTATAAGGGTTTTTTTTTTCTTTTTCCGTTCAGTCATATCCAGTTCTCAGAAACTGACTGGACAAGTCCCTGCAGTTTTCCTGGCAAGATTTTTCAGAAATGGTTTGCATTTCCTTCCTAGACCTGGGAGAAGTGAGTAGCCCAGGGTCATTCAGCTGCTTCATACCCAAGGCAGGACTAGAACTCAGGTCTTCCTGATTTCTGGCCTGATGCCTTAACCACTACTCCAACTGGCTCTCATAGAGAAGTTACCAGGCTGCAAATAAAACATTCTCTGTAGGAGTTAATCTGAGACCCTTTGAGGGTCTTGCCGCCCAAGCCGTAGCAGCGGGTTATAAGAGAGAAGATAACCCCCCATATTGTCATTTCTGTCTTCCTGTTTCGGCCCAGTCTTTCAATTTGTGCTCACCTGTTTTGCCTCAAATTGGTTTCATTCTGTTTTTACTTTACACATTAGTGTTGCTTAAAAAACATGCTGAGATACCCAGCCTTGGTATTTTCTTGCATTTAGGTGTGCCAGACATGTACCAATTAGTGCCAGTTAGTACTGACCAGATAGCTTTCAAAGCAAGAATTGGAGTTTCATCTTGAAACTTTCTCAGGATTGGTGTTGGTCCTGCAAAACTTTTGTCTTAGTGCATTTCCTTAGGCTAAAGAATACCAGTGAGTTTATGTTAGATGACCTGTCTTAGCCCCTTGAAATGCTGAGAGCCTGGCTTTTAGACTACAGATACTAGATTACACTAGCTGTGTACAGCCAACTATTCCTGAGTGCGGAAATGTGTTATTTTTTCACAGAAAGATCTGGCACTGGTATCTAGCAAAGGTAGGTTTTTCTCTCTTGGTTGGTGCATTAGCGTCTTGATGATGCTGTCATGCAAATCCACCCTGCCAAGGCATTTCAAAGGCACATGGTTTTTTGAACTGCTGTCCCAATACCTCTGTGGGAGCTGTTGCGCTCTGTGGTCTTCCATCTCCTCTATCTGACCTTTTGTCAGAAAGGGACTAGAGTGGAATATCAGGATATAAATCAAATATCTTTATTACAATCTTTGACCAACCTAGGATAACAGGCTATTGACAGAGGATAGGAAAAGTTAAAGCAATTTGATTGGAAACTTGGAGCATGCAAGAGACCCTACTTGTGGTGGGCCCCAGGCAACAACTTTTTCTGCAAGGCCTGCCCAGCCATTGTTTGAAAGAGGCAGCGTGTTTAGCAACCCTTCCAGGAGCAGCCTTGGTCCTAGACCGGCCGAGAAGATGCCCAAAGTAAACTCATTTGCTCTAAAATCCCTTTTGGTGTGTTTTTGTTTCACACAGTGGCTACGCAGCTGACGAAATTACACACTGCATTCGACCACAGGATATCAAGGAGAGGAGAGCCGTGATCATCCTTCGGAAGTGAGTGGCGGAATCTCTTCAAAGAGAGAGCTATTTTCCTGTTCGTCTTTAAAAAAAAAAGCCACTTTTACTGGTTTCTGATGCCACCTTTGAGTTGGTACAATTGATGCTGACTCGTCCATGTGCGCTTTGTCCTTCTGCTTTTCAGGTGCTGCCTTTATTTAACGGGAGGACTTGTTGGTCCTTTCTGTAGCAGCATCTGATGAATCGCCAAACCACGAGAAATTGGGGTTGGGGAGGCGAAGAAAGGAGCTTCTTCGCACACAGATGTCTTGCCTTATTTTTTAAGAACTTGAAACTGGGGAGGTTGGAAGCATGCTGGATTAGAGCTTCTCAGTCTTGGCAACTTTAAGCTGTGTGGACTTCAGGTGCCAGAATTTCCCAGCTAGTACACACCAGCAGAAGGCAGAGGCTCCGTTTCGCAGGTCTTAGTTGAGTTCGGAAACTTCCATGCTTCAGCCGTTTTACACACAAGGAAAACTCAAATTAAACTCAACCTTGTGGTTCGACTAGGGCATCACGCTGTCGCCGTGAAAGTGTGGACAGTCAGATGCAGCTATCCCAGGATCTATGCATCTCGCTACCTAAGTCTTCTCCAGGCTGGAACTAGATTAATTACTGCGGTAGTCCAGAGGGAAGCAGTGGTGGCATCTTATTTTCGTTAACCTTTGAGATTAGTGTCCCTGGCAATTTGTATTGGGAAAGCTGCTAAAAAAGAGCAGGGAGGCTTTGAGGCTTGCACAGTAATAAATACCTTGCAAGTTTATACCTCGTCATTATGCTCCTGTAAGCACTTGAGGTTACAACAGTGGAACAAAACCTGGAATATAAACTAATATGATGTATCCGAAACTAAAAAGCCTTTTATGGAAGAGTGGCAGCTCAGGGCATCTTCCTACAAAGAGCATTCCAGGATCTGAGAGCTCCCGATACAGCTTGACTTACAACCACAATCGGGCCCAAAATTTATGTCGCCAAGTGAGAAACTTGTTACGTGAGTTTTGCCCCGTTTTACAACCTTTCTTGTCACAGTTGTTAAGTGCGCCACTGCAGTTGATTAGTACCGTGGTTGTTAAGTGAATCTGGTTTCCCCCTTGACTTTGCTTGTCAGAGGGTCACAAGAGGGGTCATGTGACCCTGGGACTCTGCAACGGTCATGTGAAAAATGGTCATAACTCACTACTTTCAGCGCCATTTTAACCTCAAACGGTCACTAAATGAACTGTTGGGGACTGCCTGCGTTGCACACTGTAGCCAGACCTCCGCTAGCCAGTCAATTTCTAAAGGGTCTCATTTGTTGATCTCAAATACCTGGACAGGTTCCTGGGGAGAGAGGCGGCCCTTTATTGCTTTAGAACCTCCACACCAGCCTCTGGAGTTGTGCGTGTGAAGCCTCCACTGCCTCCGGTGCCATCACACTCTCCCTGCTCCCGGGAACTTCTGCCGGTCAGCCGCTGGCCCTGCACTCATCCAGCAGTGCCGTGCCAAGATTTTTGCACACGTCGCAGTCCTGGAGAGCCGGCCTTTGCCAAGAGAGGGTCTGGCGCTTGTTTGGCTGGAGTGGAAATTCCCTTAAGCTGCCTGGTTACCAGTGTGGTTATAAACACTTCAGGGCAGCTGGGGGGGTGGGGTGGGGTGGGGTGGGGGGAAATCTTCTTGTAGGCCAGGAAAGCAGCTGATGAATCTGCAGCAGAAGAAACAACCGGCAACAAAAAATGTGCTTAGTTTATAGGGTAAACACAGACCAAAAACGCTTCAGTGCAGCCCGCTTCTCTTGGCTTTCGTGAAGGATTGTGAGAATTTTCCCCTCTCCTCTCACTGTGAGGCAGATTGGACTTGGCAGCCTATCTGAATGTTAGGCTTGGTACGGGAAGATCAAGGGGGCATCTCAGTTTATTGCCATTGGCCACGATTGCACTTTTTGTGGCTTCTGAGGTTTCATCCCTTGGAAACGATTAGCAACCCAGGAGGGGATAAATCCAGTGGACGTACAGGGGGTGCCCGTGGGAGGGTTGGTGCACTGCGTACTTCAGCCCCCCAAATCCTTCAGGGCTGCTCGGACAGCGGAAGAGGGTGTCCTGTCCCCGAGCACTTGGCCCTCAGAACAGACTGTGTGGTGTGAGGTGTTTTGTGTGGTGAGTCACACCTGGTAACCGATGCTGTTGTGCTGTCTAATGCTTCCAGAACCAGAGTAGACGCCCCCCGGCTGGAGACCCGATCGCTGAGTAGCTCTGTGTTGGTCCCTGGCTATGCTTCGGACCGCCTGTCGGGGAGCAATCGGGACCCCATCCTGAAGCCAAAGAGGTCCCATCGCAAAGCAGACCCCGATGCAGCCCACCGGTAAGAGGCTCACATGAGGCAGGCTGGCGTTGGGGGGAGGGCGAGACTGTGGTCGGGGGGAATCTCTGCCTCGCCAAGCGGTCCAGAGACGCGGGTCTCTTTTCTTCCCGCAGACCTCGGATTTTAGAGATGGATAAAGAGGAGAACCGGCGCTCGGTCCTCTTGCCGAAACACCGGAGGCGGAGTCACTTCAGCTCTGAGAACTATTGGAGAAAGTCTTACGAGTACACAGAAGACTTTGAGGAAGAGGAGGACGAGGAGGAGGACGAGGGGAGTCCAACACGGAAAGTGAAAATGAGGCGGCATTGAGGAATCCTTGTACACACACACACATCCTCTTTCCCCAGTCTTAGAGGTGATGAGACTGGCCTTCAGGCTGTGAAATTGGATCTTTTCCCTCTCCTCTTGACCCTCTCTTAGTTATTTCTCATTTAGCTTCAAGATTATATTGCCCCTTCCTGTTTTATCTTGAAAAAGAGCTGGAACAAATCTGGCTTGCTTCCTTCTTTCTTTCCTTCCTTCTTTCCTTCCCTCCCTCCCTCCCTCCCTCAGCATCTACGCTGACTAGGATGTATGTGGTACTGCCTGCCCGCTTTCCTCAGGGCAAGTGGCCATGCCTCATAGCAGAGACAGCTTTTTTT